CTCATGAAGTGACGAATGAATTTATGAAGTGGGGTCACTAAGTTTTGTTCAAAATGAATGTGTTTTTGTACGAGCCCTAATTGGGTTTTGAATTTCAAATTCATTGGCAATTTTGTTCCGGGGGAGGCAATTTGGGGAGGAGAGGTAAAGGGAGGAATGAGAAAGATAAAGAGAACCGGTGACTTATAGGGTTAATGAGTAGCGACGAACGCGTTTCTATCACTACTTGCATCGTTAATTAACGAAAGAAATAAGTATCTATCGTTAATTTACATTTTAATCAAGTGTCAACTTTTCTGAAAAGTTTAGAAAATTGATCCATTCGTCGCTACTCGGTAGCTAATTAGTAATGGGTATCTTAGTCCACTCGCTAATTTAAATTTCAAATTCATCGACAATTTTATTTCATAAATTTTCCAACTACCTTTTATTTAGTGATAGATAGCGATATATAGCAATAGATTCATATGATGAATGTAGCGACGGAATTTTGTTCAATCACTAGATCAATGTAAAAGACAAAAGTCCTCTCTTGATAATCGTTGTAGGGAGAGGAGAGACTGCGTTGAACTTTGGGGGAGAAGATACACCTCATCGGATTAGTTGGGTTGGGGAAGGAGTGGTCGGCATTGGGTGACGTAGGGAGGCAATTTAGGGGAGGAGAGGGAAAGGGCGGAATGAGAAAGATAAAGAGAACCGGTGACTTATAGGGTTAAGAGTAACGACGAATGCGGTTTTATCGCTACTCCATCGTTAATCGACGACGGATATATACATTTTAATCGAGTGTCGAATTTTTTAGAAAGTTTAGAAAATTGATCCATTCGTCTCTATTTGGTTGCTAATTAGCAACGGATATCTTAGTCCATTGCTAATTTGAATTTCAAATTCATCGATAATTTTATTTTGTAAATTTTTCAACTACTCTTTATTTAGTGACAAACGGCGATATCTAGCGATAGATTCCTATGATGAATATAGCGGCAAAATTTTGTTTTATTGCTAAATCAATGATGGAATTTCATGGTTGTTCTATCGCTGATTGTGGTGCCTTTTTTCCCACAATAATTAGCGATGGAATTTCATCTCGTCACTATAGTTTCATCACTTGTGTATTCGCTAAAATTTCCTTTTTTCTCTTTCCTTACCGATCTATAGTTAATTGGTAGCTATTTAGAGACGGAATAAAATTCATCACTAATTATTTGTTTGATGATGGCAAGCATACGGAACTCATCTCAAAAACACGTGAGCGACATGACATTCTTATTTAGTTTTGTGATGGATTCCTTAATCTATGAATTCACCTTAGGAGTAGTGGTGAGATGTACCCGTTTGCTACAATTTCCATTTTGGCACTTAAATATGGGAAGAGTTATGAAAAGAGTGAAGGTTCTTTAGTTTTTATCCATGTATTTATCTAACGAGTATTTTAGCTTTAATTCTTGTCATGTTTGGTGGTTTAGATATGAAATCTTCCGCAATGACACTTTCAACTATCATTCTTATAATGTATATTAGTGAGTGTTGTGTTTGTGTACTTGTCTCTCTCTCTCTTTAATTCTCATTAATCTCGCTGATTTTATTATTATTTTTATTTTCATGTTTAAGGTTTCACCTACCATATAGATAGAAAAGCTATAGAAGAGTAAAAAGGTAGGAAAAATAAAATAAAAAATATTGATGGTAAAAATTAATTATTGATTAAGTTCTACTTGTTTCAATTACATGTTTATACTTTGTTTTTTTTTTTTTTTTTTCGCTTTGGAGAATCCTCGGTTTAAAAAGAAACCTTAAGTACTATTTGAATATTTGGATAAAAGCCTAGAAAGTTTCCGGACAAGTTGTCACTCCATAAATACAATAGTTAAGCCTTACAACTATTTGGATCCTTAAAAAAGGATTATTTCAAGTCCCTTCTCTTGCAATAAAATTATTTTTTGTTATCCTTTCTTTGAAGTATTTATTTTAGAAATTTAATTTCAATATTGATTCAAGGAAGACAGTGGATGCAACTATAGTGTATAGTGTTTTTGGAAAATTTTTTTATGGAAAATGTTTTAATCAAAATAATAATTTTTTTTTTAATGAAAAAATGGACACACTTTGGCTTTCACTTGAAATGCAAGACAGTATGCATGATTCTTACGTAACTTAGGAAGATTACAAATTTTCAATTTTTTATTGGATCCTCTAAATCATTTTTGTATTGTGGTTGTGGTTGTGATTCTTTTTCTATTAGAAATAGTTAAACTTTCCAACAAATTCATATTAGCTAGGTTCAAGAAATAATCTTTTTTTTTTTTTTTTGCAAATGATTTTCTATTAAATGTATCAACTTTCGGTTCAAATCTTAAAAATTAGAAATAAAATTCTATGATTGAAAAAAATATTTTGTCCATATCTATTAAAAAATTATTCTCTAAACTCATACCCATTAATACCTTCCAAAAATACTTTATTAAAATATTTTATTTACTCATTGTACTTTTTTTAAAAAAGTTATTTTGATCCTTGATATTTTTTACAATTTGGTACTTTATTTATTTATTTATTTTGTCTTCGAGTTTTCATCAAAATATTTTGATCCCTGCTTTATAAAATTTATGCAATCAAAGTCATTGAAGCAATTTTCGGACATGAATATCTACTTCATACCCTACCAATACTATATGCATTTTAAAAATATTTTAATTAAAAATTTACAACTATATATATATATATCCATCATTATTTTTCAATGTGATTTTTCAGTGCTATAGAGATGCTCTTGTTTTTACTATCTAATGCTTGTCATGCAAGTTTAGCAACCACCTAAATTATGGTAGGACTATAGGAGAAATTAAATCTAATATCTGGAGCTATTTTGGAGCTATTTTTGGTCGGTGTAACACCTCAAGCATGATGTTAAGCCCATAGATGATCTCTCACATGGACTAAATTATAATTTAGTCCTTCTAGTTTCAAAACAAGAATGAGCCATTCTCGTTTTAGAAATTATTAGTTAATTCTTTAAACAATATTGATTATATTTAATTTCATAGTATTTTTATTTTTAAAAAATGTGTTATTTTCTCATTAATTTTTTTTATATTTTAAAATAAAAATTCAAAATAAATTGAAAAAAATAAACTATAAATAGATTTAAAAACATGAAGATTGAATAATTAGTTTTTAAAACGAGAAGGATTAATTAATGTATTTCTCAAATCAAAGGGAATTATTTTTCAATTTAAATTAAAATACTGTTATTAATTTTTCTCTTGGAATCAATTATCGTGCACTTGAACATCTAAATACAATAATTTGAAAAAAATAATAATAATTGGACTATGTTACCTCTTAATAAGATATTCATGATTAAATCCACTCATCCAGTGACATTTAGTAAGTCAAATCAGTAAATGAAAATGAGTTTAAGCTTATGCAAATTTATCGTAAGAAATTGATATGGGCTATCAATGGAAACCATGCCATACAAGCATCAATTTTACATATTCAATTTTTTTTTCATCTGCTGGGCTAAATCAAGTGTGCTTAATTCTAAAGAAATACTTCACAATTTTAGCAGGAAACTTAAAAACCCTAAAATCCCATATCGAATTTACTATTCATCAAAACTCATTTGTACTATTTTTTTACTATGTTTTTTTTTTTTACTATGTTGTGGCATAGTAAAAAAATAATAAAACAAAATCATTTGAGTTTTACCATGTCGCACTATTTTGTTCAAAACTCATTTGAACAAAACCATTAACAAAATACTAAAATAAAACCATTGTTTACTACTCATTTTAATATTCATTATACTATTCACCCATATTGAGTTTACTATTCATCAAAACTCATTTGCACTTTTTTTACTATCTTGCAGCATTGTTATAATTTTTAATGTTTATTAAGGCTTTTAATATGCAAGTTGTTGTGACATTATATTTTGCTTTTTTACCCGTGCATGTGTATATGTATATTTCAATTTTGAACTTCATTTTCCTAATTTTTTTCAATAATTTAAATTTTTAAAATATTATTTTAAAAAGAATTATAGAAAATTGGTTGCTATTTTTTAAGTTTTTCATAAAAAAAGAATGATGTGTTTTATATTTTTAAATGGACCTATATTTCATATTATAATACTTTTATTGTTTAAAATTAATTCCTTTAATTTGTCCATTTGAAAATTTTCATCCAATTAACTTTTAATTTTAATTTTTATAAAAAATTATTTTTTGAAAAATATGATTTATCTTGCTCTATGTATGGATTTTGAAATTAAATTTTAAAATATGATCATCTTCTCTCTTAAAAAAAAAAAGATAGTTCACTCTAAAAACTATATTTTGTTATTCCTTATGGTCTTTCTTATATTATAATTGATAATTAAAAAAATAAACTAGCAATGATAGAAATTCAAGAAAATCAAATAATCACTCTAAAAACTAAAACGATATTACTAAATATCAAACAAACAAATGAAGTCCACATATATATAACAAAGCAAAAAAAAAAAAAATACTTATATTAAATAAATATATAAAAAATATTAATTTACATGTCAATAAATAATAATTTTATTATCTTTTTTATAAAATGATTTTAAAGTTAAAACGAGAGATTTTCACTAAATTATTTGTTTATCCATGTCAAATATAAATTAAATTAAAAAATATGAAAAAACAATATATTAACCCATGCAAGAAAAACAACAAAAAAACCTACCCAAATATATATATATATATATATATATATAATCGGATTTTGAAGCAATGGGCTGGTGAAACAACAATACAGCTACGACGATACAGATATACAAAGCATTCCTTTTTATTTTTGGGTATCTGCTGGGCTAAACCAACTGAGCTTAATTCTAAAGAAAGACCTGGGCTGATCCCATTTCTGTTTTTACAATTTTAGCGGGAAACTAAAAAACCCTAAAACCCCAACCGAACACGCACAAAGGGGAAAAAAGCAAGAAAAAAATCTCCAGGAAGAAAATCAAAATGGCACCGGTGGAGGATGAACAGGAGGTGAGCCAAGGTCAGCTCGACGCAGAATTCTCAGTATGGAAGAAGAACACGCCATTTCTCTATGATCTCGTAATTTCTCATCCTCTCGAGTGGCCATCTCTTACCGTCGAATGGGTACCACTCGCAGCACCACTATCTCACACAACCGATTCGTCTTTCTCCATTCACAAGCTGGTTCTTGGGACTCACACTTCGGATGATGTCCCCAACTATCTTATGATTGCTGATGCTGTGCTGCCCACTTCGATCGCTGAAGCCAAAATTGACACTAGTGGCAGTTCTGCGAATTCTTTGGTTCCTAAGGTGAGATTTGGCTTGTGGGGTTCTTTTTGGTGGAAGTATTACGTATTTGATGAAATTACTAATGTGAAATGTTGTTTTTTACTGTTGGGTTTTCTGGGATATAATTGTTTTGATTCAATTTTGAGCAAATTCTGGGATTCCGAAGATGGAAGTTTATATTTAGGTTTTGTTTTTGTAGGTATTACATTTTCGATGAAATTACTAGCTGAGATGTTGTTAAATTTTGGTGTTTTTATTTCTTTTCTGGGTCATAAGCTGCTTACTAGCTGAATGTTGCTTTTGAGTTTGGTTTTTTGGGTTTTGAAGTGTTTAATGTTGTTTTCTTTACCTTCTGAGTCTAATTTGGTCTGTGTTTTACTAGCTGAAGCGTTAAAAGATGTGTTGTGTTTTGCGTGATACGCCTTTGATAGTTTGAACCCCGCATTGTTTTTTGTCTTTGATTGATTTTAACCACTAATTATCAACTGTTACTTTTGTAGCTGTCTTGAAATAGTTTATATATTGCTTTCCATACTACTGCTACATGCATTTTTATTTTCAGTTTGCAATGAAATTGCTGACTGTGATTATAAAGTTATGACAAGGTTGTTACTTTTTAAGTGTAACAAATAATTGAATGCGCTATATGCATGTCTAGTTTTGTTTCAACAACTGTTCTGTGACCAAAAAGTGTTTTGCTTAATTTTTTGCCTTAATGTATTATCTCCTAAATTAAAAATGTTCAGAAAGTGTTCTATCCATGTCTGAATAAAAAAGAAACTCGTAGCTGAATTTTTTTTTTTTTTGGATCAATAGGTGGAAATTACACAGAAGATACGTGTTGACGGAGAGGTGAACAGGGCACGATGTATGCCTCAAAATCCTGCAATTGTTGGTGCAAAGACAAGTGGTTGTGAGGTTTATGTGTTTGATTCTACCAAACAGGCCGAGAGGAAACAAAGGGATGGTTGTGATCCGGATTTAAGGTTAACTGGTCATGATAAAGAAGGGTATGGATTGTCGTGGAGTCCATTTAAGCAGGGTTATCTTGTGAGTGGTTCACATGATAATAGAATATGTTTGTGGGATGTGTCTGCCGTTGCTCAAGAAAAAGTGCTTGGTGCGCTGCAAGTTTATGAGGTAACCTCAGGACATTTTCTCTCTCCCTTTTAATCAATAAAGTTAATCTTTGCAATCATGATGAGTGTTAAATGGCTTCTTGTTGGGGTTGGAAATGCTTTTATAGGCCCATGAAAGCGTGGTTGAAGATGTGTCATGGCACTTGAAGAATGAAAATTTGTTTGGTTCTGTGGGGGATGATTGCCGATTAATGATCTGGGACCTGCGCACAAATCAAACCCAACATTCTGTTAAAGCTCATGAGAAAGAGGTGAGGCGATCTTGCCTCAATTTAGCTTGTATGCTTGTTTGTCTTGTGTATGCACGCCTTTTGTTTTGGGAAAACCTGGCTGTCTACTCAATGTAATTTTAGTGACTCTCTTTTGGTGGCTTTGCTTCTGAGATCTTCCCTTTTGATCTTGAAATGTTTTTCTTTCTCCTAACATTTTGTTTCTTGGTACCAGATTAACTATCTATCGTTCAATCCATACAATGAATGGATTCTCGCCACAGCTTCTTCAGATGCAACTGTTGGTCTGTTTGATATGCGGAAACTGACTGTACCGCTGCATGTTTTAAGTAGTCACACGTATGTTTTCTGCTTCTTGTATTATTTTGAATATAGTTGCATGACCGCAGCTGTTATTCTGCGTTCTGAAAGGTTTTTATCCTTTTGGAATGCATTTGTAAAACTGAACTGTCTTGCAACTTTAGGAATTGTCTTTCTAATGTTTTAACGCATCATATGAACATGCTATTTCACTGGGGTTCCCTCTATTTACCAATTGGAGACATAAATAGTTATAGTACATCTGAACCTTGTATTTTGAATATCACCAGTTGTGCAGCTTCCTTTTTTTCCTGGTCTCAAAAATGGCAAAATTTTCTATACTAGTATATCGATATGTTGGTTAATATACTTGTAAATTGATATGTTTGTTAACCATCTTATATTAACACTGTGATAAATTTGTGACTGGCGTTGTTTAAGTTTTTGTTTATAACGAAAAACAAGTGATATGCTTTCTGGATGGCCCTGCATTCTGGCCCCTGGGTTCTGACATTTCTTCTATATTTATAGTTTATTTCCTCGCATTGACTACTTCTATCTGTTGCGATGCTCATTTCTGACAGAGAAGAAGTATTTCAAGTAGAATGGGATCCTAATCATGAGACAGTGCTAGCATCGTCTGCCGATGACAGAAGGTTGAACGTTTGGGACCTGAACAGGTATTTTCATGAGACATTTGCATTTATGTTCAAAGATGGAGTAATGTGGTTTTGATCCATTTCTCTTTAATAGTATGATGTGGTTTTCTTTTGCTCCATTTCTCTCTCATTTAATGTCCTGGACAGATAAAAATAATTGATAATTTTGTTTCTTCTGATTGGAATAGTTGTTATTCAACTTCAGCTTTTGTTAGATCCAGTGGTAAGAGATGGAGCATAGATGATCTCTTATCTTTCTTTACTTTTTTAAATAAAAGATGAATATGGTACCTGAACTGGTAGTTGAATCAATTGTATGATCTCCAAATCACTGCATTTTCATCATCTACGAATACCTTGATCATCCCATAAAAACAGTCCTTTCTGGCTTTTTCTATCAGGGCTAGATATGTTAGTAAAATATTATTGTTTGTTTCATGAAAATTATCTGAACATAATTTTGATGCCTTCAGGATTGGCGAGGAGCAATTAGAGTTAGATGCTGATGACGGCCCACCAGAACTTCTTTTCTCGCATGGAGGTCACAAGGCTAAGATATCAGATTTTTCATGGAATAAAAATGAATCATGGGTCATCTCAAGCGTGGCTGATGACAATACCCTTCAAGTGTGGCAAATGGCTGAAAGTATTTATCGTGATGAAGATGACTTAGCGGCTGCTGATGAGCCACCTCTAGCTGAAACATGAGCAAAAAGCGTAGCTTTGTAGTATAGCTTTAATTAGGCAATGAACGATAATTTGTTTTCTCCTTTTGCACCAAAAATCAGTGAATCCAAACATTTTATAATCAATTTCTGCACCTTATGCCTAATTCCTGTTGATTGGAGATGAAAGCTGGATGAATATTATGTGCTTTCATGGGATATATATTTAGAACTTGCCTAATATAACTGCTTCAGAAGTCACCTGAACCTATATTTTTGCATTTCATAATATGCATCACCTCCTTGCTAGTAGCAGAGGTAACAACTAACTTTATTTGAATCTAATAATTCGGCACCTATATAGTTCGTGCAAGTTATTTTGTGGCAGGTAATGATCTGAAATATCAAATATCCAATACTAATGTTAACTTCAGATGCTAATGTTCTTCACCATACAGATAATGATGGAATTTTATTTTTATTTTTTATTTTTTTATCAGATAACATTCATTCATTCTTTAATTTGTGGATAGAAATAGCTATTCAGTTTGAAGATGGAGACAACATTTTAAGTTATTTTTGTTACCATCATAAAAGGATCTATTTTTGTAGGGAGAGACACCAGTGTTACCCCATGTACAAAGTTTTTGCTCCCACGGCTACTGTTGCCGATAAATCATGGGATATGGCTGTTGTGTTTTTCCGATCAATAGGCTTTCTATGGCTGAAAGTATGTATCCTCCAATTGATTCGAAACTTTTTCCATAAATCGACAACAATATAATGGCAATTATTGCGTTGGTAAGCGATCTTTAATTATTTATAAATTTCTGCTGATAATTTTCATTTTCACTAATAATTTTTTCCTAATTTTGAATTTGATATTTAGCTGACTCATGGGCAAACCTTACGTGGATTTGGATCTGACAGCAAGCATTTACGAGGTGGATTTATTCTAGTTGGTGATGGCATGAATTAATTTGAATTATCCATGCTTAAAGGTTAATTAATCATTCCATTTTGCAAATTGTTTGTTATGATCTTTATGTTTTCCTTATTTTGTGTCGTTTCAAATTCCTAAGCATGTCTCTACATGAAGACCAGTGTTTTAATGGTTATCTCCATCAACAAAGTTAACAGTTATCGTGTTATCTGTTAGTATTTTTTTTCGGAAAAAAATGATTAAAGTTATTGGATAATAACAGTAATAAAATAAAATTTTGAAGTGTAATCTATAAAGATATGAAAAGGAGGATTTTTCTTAGCATAACCGTAATGCTACTTCGTGTTGGTTCTGTTCCCTTCGCTTATAAAAAAAGATAGATGTTTGCCTTTTCACGAGGGAAGGTGGTGTTGGCACTCTAACACAGGACTCTTATTTTCTCTATTTTTAAAATATATGAGTTATTTTTTATTTTTTTTAAATCCTATATCGTCCTTAAAGAGAAAAAAACAAAATTTTACCAACAACCATCCATATATATGGAACAACCACCATCGACTACGCCAAGCAAGTTCCACCATTAAGGAAATCTCTACTTTGTCCACACGAGAACTGAAAATATAAAATGTTTTCAACTTTAATCCACTAAAAGCTTCTCTTAAATCTTAATGATAAGACATTTATCATATTTTTTTAGCATTGATTTTCATTTATTTTTATATTCTTGTTACTTTTATATATGTACTTCGGCGTTTTGCTTTGTCGTGGAAATAAATATATACATGTTATCAATTTGTTCTAATTTATTTCACACTAAATTTCATATATTATATATTATATATGATCATTTATTTTTTAAAATTTAGCTATTGTCCCGATGATTTTGATACATTTTGTTAGTGTCATTTGAAAATTGTTAACCGTTTTCTTTACCATCTTTAATGTACATAGTTGTAATTTTAATTATTTTCCATAATTAGCTTCTGTATTTATATTAATTATATTACTAACTTTATAAAATATTTTAACAGATGATTGCCAGCTAATTGAAGAGTAAAATGGACCTTTTTAGAACATAAAGAATAACTCACATATTTTTAAAAAATAGAATAGTTCAAAACAATTCTGAAACAGCAATATGGTGGGCCAGTAGATCTTTTTTTTTCCTTCCTTATGTCAAAAGGGAGTAAAAATTTGCAATTATTACCTCTAATGACTTTGCACCATAATCGTATGTCTCAATGCTATTTTTACTTTCAGTGATGATTTATAAAATTTAATTTTATCGTAAATCATGTATACGATGAGAATTTTTCGTACATATTTTTTACGGGTCAGAGGTAACGAATATAAAACTCGATGCAAATTAATAATATTATTCATATCATTCATATTTCCATTCATATTATAGCAAAACAATTTTAGGCTTAAAAAAAAAAAAAAACAATATGAAACTTCATAGAAAAAGGTGAAAAAATACGGAATATCATTATTGTTTGATGTGGTAGGATATTGGTATCTATCATTCAAATTTTCAATCGTCCAACCTCAGAATGCTATCTACCTTTTTAGTACCAAAAAAAAAAAAAAAAAAGGAATAGCAAGGATTAGTTAACACAACATTCCACTAATGAATAATGAAGGGTGTGGAGTGGATCTTTATCTACAAGGGAACTCTTCTCACTCACTTAAGAATCATTCTACCATGGATTAAGTACCAACCATTAAATGATGATTTAAAGGAGAGAAAAAGTAAATAAATAAATAAACCAATGAATTGGGTGAGATAAAATTTGGAGTTGCAAAGGAGTATTACATGTAGACTGAAGCATTGATCATAAGCTAACGGTTATTTCCACAAACGAGAGAATGTCAATATATACATACAAGGAAATAAATAAGTAGTTAAGAGGAGGCATCATCAATCAAGAAAGGGTGCAGTCGCTGAGTGGTCAGTGACCTTTTCCTACGGTTTGGGTCCTGGATTCAACACCATCAGCAACAATTTCTTTTGCTTCTTTTTATTTTTCGCTAGAGGCCATGCTCTCACTATTGTGGGTTCTCATATTTCAGTTCAAATTCCATGTTCAAGGGCAAACCAGGAACTAGGCTACCTGCAAAACTTGATGAATTCTGGGAATACTTTACACTTTAATACTGACCAAAGCAAATCTTCTTATGGATGAGAAACTGAGGACATCAGCAATTAGCATAACTTTATCAGATTTTAGTGTTTTACTAAGACACAGAATTCATTGGGTGATGCTAAACTTCACTCATTCAAAGATATACACATCTAAGTTCTAATTTTCTTCCTTCAACTGACCAAATAAATATTTATATATATATCCAGTGAAGCAATCATGACATCCAACAAAAATAATAATTCTCCGATTAACAACGCAAGGAAGGCCATATTAACTAGAGACAAGAGTTGAATAAAAGCCATTTAACACAGAATCCTTCTGTCCCTTGTTGCAAAGACGTAACAAAGTACAAAACAATATTGAATTTGGAAAGATGAATCTCACCATCCCTTGCTGTTTCTGTCTCAGCCATGGTGAGCAGCAAGTTCCGAGCGCAAATTTCACAATTCACAGGACGCTTGCATCAATTATAAACAGCAAATTGTTTGATTCACTAACGAAACATCAAACACGTTCCCACCTTACCAGATTCTGTAATTCAGCAATGAAGAAACCATATTGCTTGAGAATGTGAAAAAAATCTTAAACAAACTGCCAAAACTTGTAAAAAACAGCAAAGAAAGGGGACCGCATCAACAATATCTTCATCAAACAGGACCACCACTACTTACTAAGATTGTGCTTGGATATAAAGAATAAGGTTGAATCAAAGCTTGGTAAATGTAAGTTGAGCTTCATAGAAGACCATATGTTGGTCTTTGTCATAATTTCTACTAGCAAAAGACCAATCAAGTCTCTATGTTACAAAACATTTTTTCGACCAATATCACTAACTAACCAAACCACCAGCTAGGCAGCTACAGCAGAGTAACCCAACACCTACATGAACAAAATACAAAAACAAAAAGGGAAAAGAATTAAAAACTAACCAAACCCAACAAAGCATCTTGATGAAGCTGATGCTGCCACTCAACAAAGTACTTAGTTGAAGCACATGCATCCTCACTGAAAAGGCTGACCTTAGTTTGACAGTTCTTCAACTTACTGGTTCTCCGCAAGCCCTCCTAACAGATAAAAACACCACAATCAGTCTTTAGGTTCGTTAGCTACTCGATCAATACAGCTACAAGAAACATCGGCATTGTAGTTCATACCATTTAATACACCTTGACCTCATATATAACTGGCGAATACCATTTAATAAACATGATTACACTGTTCTCCAGATTGGGACCATTTTTATTGGTAACATACAACGTGAATAAGATGATTTTTTGAGATGAAATGAGAAGAAGTGTCTTACGCAAACTTTCCATGGATGGTCTCACTCACATCATTTTTAATATTTACTTCATTCTCCATATGCAATCAAAGTCTTTTATCACACACACACACATGCCAACAGGTATACATGCTTTATAGTTGCATGGTAAGCGAAACACAAGAGGTGCTTAACTTAATTTCCAGAATTCATCCTACTACGTTTTATAACAACAAGGCAAACAACAAGTATAAGAAAAGGTTCTTCATAAAAAAATAGATCAGACCAATTATAATCAAGTTGCTTGGTAATCAATCAGCTCATCCTATATCCACAATTCAATTAAAAACAAAATGATAAGAACAAACCTTTCCTCTTATTTGTACTGGAAGAATTGCCATTCATTGCTACATTCCCAAGGTTACACCCAGGTGAGTCTCTCATTCCTAAATTCTGATATTCCATACACTGGAGGTTCTCAAATTCACAACTGCTAAAACCTTGTCCATTCAAGGCCGCACCTTCTCCGCTTTTGCCATCCAACCCAGGACGCTGGCAAGAAACCTGACCATCACACTGTATATTACATGGATTCATCACAAGAGGACCAGGAAAATTGGTCAAATTCACATTATTGGCCGATTTCTGATATGGAAAAGATCCAATCTCCCCTTCGATCCTCCCCCTGATGTCCACAAGTAAACACTTGAGCCTTGCAACCTCTGCCTCCAATGCAGCATGTCCTTGCAGCCTCTTAAGTAACTGCTGGTTCAAAGCTCGCAAATGCTTAACTTCATCCTCCAAAGATGCAGCCTTTGCCTTCTTCTTCTCCCTATACTTTCGGACAGCCTCCCTATTGCCTAACGGCCGTTTCTTCAACTTTTTCTCCGTGGACTCAGCAGTATCATCACTCGTAGCCTTGTCCTCAGAAGGGGGCAAAATTCTTGTATGCGAGTGAACACAAACATGTGTATGAGGTTTATCAGGACCAGAAGGATTGCATGTGTGTGTATGACTACAAGCATGAGTGTCGTTCATTAGCAGGTCATCCAAGAAACCAAAAGAACAACTGCTTGGAATGTCATCCATATTCGGACTCAGAAACAATTCTTGGTTTGAATAATCTAACTCCCCATCGTCCATTAAAGCAGAAATTTACCAAACAAAAGAAAGGCAAATTCAAAATCCAGTGAAGCAAATATAAAATCCAAATTTTGATGCAGACTCAGATAATAATTTCACTCGAATCCTGCCTTTAACAGAATTTGCCAACCACCCAGATGAGAAATCTGTGAGCACAAAAATACACTCATAAGCTGCAAAAGGTAGATTTTAAGTAAGCAACTCGGCAAATCAACCAAAAGCCAAATACAAAAGGCTAAAATATCACAAATTCAACTAATTCAATGACAACCCAGGTAACAATTCAAAGCAAAAAAAAACACAACTCCATCAATGCAAATAATTATTCAGAAAAAAAAAAAACAAACAAACAAAGCGACACACTTTACCACGAACATGAAACAAAAGCAGGGAAATTAAGACAATACTTCGACAAAATTCAGGTTTATGTGGCAATGACAGAAAGAGAGAACTGGAAATAAAAGGAACAAGATCAAGACAGAATCCATGAAAAATCATAATCATCAAAAAAACCATGAACACCAAGTGGCAGTTACTCAAAAAGAATCGAAAAAGGAGACTAATAAAGTTAAAGAAAGTAAAGATGAGCGTACCAGAGAAGAGGAATTTGGTTCTTATTCCATAAAAGAAAAGGAGAGAGAACGAAAGCCAAAGCTCTCTTTTAATTGACGAGGTCGAGAAAGAAAGATAATAGGCTGCTTTAACTATCAATTTATAGGCACTTGAGGGACTACTACGTAAATTAAGAAAAATTAAGAAGTTGTTTGGTAGATTTTGTTTTATGATATGAAGACATTCTTGTGGGCCATCCTCGGTGAGAATTTTCTTTGATCTAAATCATGACCGTTCATTTGTTTGACTCAGGAAGAGGAAATGGTTTCTTGTTCTTTGGAGAGGGTCCACAAGGACTCAAATCATGGAGCCCATTATCAATTATTAATGAGTGGTGTATAAGAATGGAGTATACACCACAAATCAATTTTGTTAATAGGTTCTCCTTTGACTTTGAGCATTTCATAATTTTATTTGCTTTTAAAGATACAATTTTTATTTTCAAAAGAATAAAATTTTTCATGAATATTTCATGAAACTTCCAAATAATAAAGTTGTTAAATTGAAATTAGATTAAACAATAAATATGAGGATAATTGTTTTTCTTTGTTTGTCAAAAAAAAAGAAAAAAGAAAGAAAAAAAAAAGACAATTCTCATGGAAGGAAAAGCTAGTGGTTTATCTCGATAAAAATTAAGGGCAATCATATAGTGTTTTATTGGTTTGATTTTGTAGATATTTTTTTTCTTCTTCAGGATTTAGTGTTTGAGAATTATGATTTTAGTTACAAGCTTGAGAATGAACCCTTGATTATTTTAATTCTTTACCAATTCATTATTAACAATTTGATTTCATAATTGATTATGTAAGTCTACATGCCCGATAATTCTCCAATTTTTTTTAACATTTGGACTATTTATTCTTCAATTTTTTTTATTGAAATTTTCTATTTTTTATTTAATTAAAGTTTTTTATTTTTTGAGATTTCTTATTTTAAATTTTCTTTTATAATATTACTGATTGAAATTTTCTCTTTACAATACCCGTATAGATTATTTATCGATAGCATAATGATATAAAGTAATTAGAGTCGGCAATATAGATGCTTTTGTGACATTTTATCATTTTATGCATACCAAAAACTAGCAAGAGAAAAGAAGACCTAAATAATTTCCTCACTATCTAACCCATAAGCCGGCCCAAAGAACCCAGTCCTTCATATCCAGCCCATTAAATCATGAAAGCTGGGACGGAAAAAAACCAGTGCAAAAGTTGCATCATCCTCTCGTATTTATTAACACTTGATTCTGTCAGAAGGATTCTTAATTTTCTCAGGAAAAAGAAAATCTCAATTTATCTATTAAGAGTTTTAACATTTTCTGCCATCTTCGTAAAAAAAAAAAAGAATTTTTCGATCATCTTCCTAAAAAATAATTCTTGGATGCCTTTTATCATTTGGTTTTGTAACATGCAAATGGTACTTTGGATCACGCCCACATGGGCACATGCAATATGAAAATGCCTTCCAAAATGCTAAATGCATTCCCGCATTAATGCACACAAAAAAAATTCTAGAAACGGATTAATAACCCTCCTTATTTTAAAAGCTAATATTTATATTTTTTTACAACTTAATTCTTTTTACTCGTTTTCAATTTAATTTGATTTTTTTTAAGAAATAAAAAAGTAAAGAATATGAAAGAATTGGTGAAACAGATGTGAAATTTTATCAAATAATATAATATGAAATTGAATATGATAAATACTAATCAAATGACTAAATGATTAGTTTTTCAAATAAGAAAGAGTTAATTTATTTTTCAAAAACAAAGAGACTAGTTTATAATTTAGTCCTCAAATTTTGGAAAAACTTCTAACAAAAAAAACTTTTGATCCATTAATTTTATACGTGTGGACATTTTTTATTTGATAATGAGATGATATCTTTGTATTGACGCACCAAAATTATCTGCTTTCTATTTTAGTCAAAAAGTAGAAAGTAGGAAGACCAAATTGAACAATATTGAACATGGAAAGCAAATAAAAAAGTTCTAACTTCGATCATGGCTGCATACTTGCAAATCGGAAAAAATCACCTGAGAGAAATCCATACATGAAACTTACACCTTTTCAATTAACTAACCAAATATCAAAAGAATTTACCTTTACCTCTAAGTTTCGGCACTCCGTTTAAATAAGCATATCTGATTAAGTTCAATTGAAATTCTATGACTTTAAAAAGTTTCGTTCCAGTCCAATAAAATTTCTATTTTACAATGATAATCATTTTTAATCAAAATATCATTTTACAATCACAATTATTTTCTTAAAGTCAATATATTATAAGCATTTTTTTATTCTATTAATTTTTAATGATTGACCATTTTATATTATAAAATAATTGAATAATTCGGTTTTTAATTAAATATTGATTTATAATTAACTTTGATATTATCAACTCAAATGCAAAAAAAATCACATATCTTACATCCTGCATGGGAGTATAGAATCGAAATAAATTTTTAAATGCTCTGAAAAATAAATGTATAAAGCTTAACATTTAACGGGTGCGTGTGTGTATATATATATATATATATATATATATTTGAAGATTTGTACTTTTTTTTTTTTAAATTATCAGGTTAAAACCTTGAAAGAGTGAATCTAATGCAGAGATATTTTAAGCATTTTCTTAATTTGGCTATTCTACTCTTAATATTTTTTTTTAAGAAAATTTAAGAAGTAGAGGAATGGGATAAAAAAAATTAAGAGCAGAGGAATTACATTAAAAAATGTAAAGAATAGACGAACATTTCATGCCCTTAATCTTAAAAAGAAAGTCCAAAAAATTGGTGTTGAGGTTAAGAAAGTTTACTCTTTTTTTTAAAAAAAATTCTGAATTCATATCTTTATGGTAAACAAAATAAAAAATAAAAGAAGTAGCAAAATGAACAAAACAAAACTAGGCAACCGTCAGAGATAAGGGTCCAAAAAATTAAAAAAGGAAGAGAACATCACCCGGGAACATCTCCTGAGCAAGAAAATACTCGTGAAAGGATCACGATTTCTCTATTTGCTTCAGTTATGTACAAAATCTCCACATTCCTTTAATCAATCCCTAATATCACGCTCTTTATATGGAAACCCTCTCTACTTCGCTTAAATTTTAGACTCACTTAGCTTTTTGATCTTTTATTAAACAAACTAGTATCATCAAAGAAATCGAGCCAAAAACCATTCAAGTTCCTAAGAAATTGCATACCCTGAACACGTTTTACTTCCTAGCTTGATAATTTACGCCAAATAAAACAAGATAAATCGTGGGCTATCACAATTTTGTTGATTTTCTGTTTTTTAGACAGCATAATTTAGTGTTTTGTTGCTCAGAAGTTGTTTTAAGAGTTGAACAAACACTATGTCAAGGTGCATGCCGTTCCCTCCACCAGGGTACGTGTGGAATGGAGTGAAGGGGGAAGCCTTGATAGAGTTGATTAAGGTTAGCAATTGGTTCTTAACTTTTGTGATTTTTGATTTGTTTGGTTACAAGCTTGACCGTGATGGGTTCTTGTTATCATCTTATTTAGGTATGGCATAATTATGAAATGCAATCTTTTGACAATGTTACTTGTATAGGAAGAAAAAGGATCACATACGGTTTTTGTGAGTGGCTTGTTTAGAGATTAGAGAAGGGGACAGAACAATTATGGTTTCTTTCTTGATGGCTTGGTTTCAGGTTTTTTGGACTGACATTAAGTTTATGTTGTTTGTTTGGCAGTTAAGGGAATTAATAAGAGTTAATTTTTTTGATTAGATGTTCTTATGTTTCACTAGTTAACTCAAAAGAACATGTACATTTCAGCTACCTTGAAATTTGAATTTTTCTTGCTTGCTTAAATCTGCAAGCTGTTGGAGTACTTTGAATAGTACGAAACTATGAATTAGAGTTGATAAAATTGATTCTGAAAATTTTTAGATGAAGTTGAAGTTTTCTCACTGAGAAGTAAGCTGAAATCGTTGTGCTTGTATAGAAATTTAGGTTTTTTAAATCTCAATTTCGTTTGCATTTGCTTGATATTGCTTTTCGAGCTGTGGCATGTTCATGCTAGTCAGTTTCTCAAGTTTAGTGCTGGCCTTCTACATTTTAAAGGTCAGGAGAGAAAAGGCCGAGGTTGAGAAGCAGAGGAAGAAAGAGGAGAAGAAGAAAGAGAAGAGGAGGCAAAAAATGGAGGAAGGAGAGATGAAGAAGAAAAGGCATAGTTATGACAGAAAGCACACGCAGCATTGGAGGGAGGATGGTAATGAAAGAAGGGACTATGAATTTCAAGGAATAGAGAGGACCAGTCCTTCAGAAGAGCTCAAGCAGCCTTCTACATTAGACAGCTTATATGAATCTTTTGACACCAGCCAGAGTGCCAAGAGGAAAAGACCTGAAAGTTGCCACAATAATGGTGAGTGCATTTCTATTTGCTTCTCTTTCTGGATGTTTATATTTTTGTTCCTGATACGTGCGTTTTCTGTTTGTTAATACAGGAAGCATTGTTTGGATCGATATCCGATTGCAAGAGCATGAGGATCAAGAACTGGTGTTTGGCAAACCAGTGTGCTCAATTACAGCAATGGATTTTCTTGTCCAAGAGAAATCTGAATTGCCTAACATTTGCACCAAAGAGCAGTTCTTTTCTACCTGGGGTGAGTCCACAACTACTGCCTTAGAATTGGATAGACCTGGTGTTGAGTTGTTCCATTCCTGGCCTCAAACTGAGCTCGTAAGAGACGATGGGAAGGCTGAATTGGCTCTTATATCCCGATACTCCGGAAGTGGCGTACAGCATACAAATTAAACTTTGCAGAGTTAGTTGTAAATTGGATTCCCCTTCCCTTGAAGAGTGAGCGCCCAGAAATTGAAAATCTAGAGTGGCTCTACAAGACGAAGCCCGAGAGACTGCTTAGGAGTGATTACACTGAAATCTCTAGTGCTAGCAATGATAAATGGTCTTATCCAATTTGTTCTCTATACCCAACAGCTCAGTATTTGGCCCAAGCTGACATATATGCCTTGCCATTTACAATACCATTCTAAAACTGGCACCAGAATCTATCTTTATTGTCTGTGAATAAATTTGTGTTAGAAAACCAAGTCTCTAGTCTTTCTAAAACGATCTTTCCTGTGAACAAAATTTGAGTTATCTGCTTTTGATCCATTCATTAACCTTTTCCGTAGGATCTGCATTACAATGATAATTCAATATAACACAAGCTTCTATAGGTTGGTTGAGACCATTTTAACCAAACCATGCAGGAAATCATTTATGCAAGACATCTGCATTCTGGCACAGTAATGGCCACTAGATAATCAATTCAAAATGTTCACAAGTTAAAGACAGATATTCCATTTTTCTTTCTTTCTTTCTTTTTTTTTTTCAAGAATCTAGATAGTGAAGGTCTCATGAATTCTTGTCGCGTTGTTCATTGTTGTTCAGACTTTGATTCTGATAGATCAAGTGCAATTGTCTGTTAGAAAAATTGCAATCTCCCTGTACTTTCAAGACTCAAAAACAAGTTCCTGACAGGCTTGAACCTCAATCTTCTCTTATATAACTTTAAACAGGAATTTTTACAAGTCTACATCTACAAACCACCTCACTGCAGGGTGCAAACACCTTTCCCCTTAACTGTACAATTGCAAAGTTTACAAACGACATGTAGAGAATTTTATGGCAAATTTGGCTCTGAAACAAGCAGTCAAGTTTATTGAATTGAATGCAAAGTAAATTAATTGAAGCTTGATGATCGACTCCACCTATCTTTAAGATATTCCTCAATAGAGAGATTATTTCCATGCTCCGAACTACTAAATGATGTGGAATCATCATCAACATCAAGCAACGCAAGACTTAAATGTAACTCCGCACTAGAGTTTGGATAAACTTCATCATCATTATCCTGGTTTTCTGGATCCTGAAGATCCTTATTTTGGGGGTTCACCCACTTTTCCATTTCTTTTTCTCCTCTTAGGAGCTTCAGTATCTGAAAGAAAAGGAAAAAATGTTAAGAAAATCTACTCTGACAACCAAATTAAATTTCCTGAGAACCCAGCTGTAGATTTGAATTATCACCTCACTCATTTTAGGACGTAGCCTAGCTGCTCGTGTAATGCAAAGTGTTGCTGCAAAAACCATTCTCTGCATTTGAACCTCATCAAAGTTTCCGTTCAAGTTTGGATCCACTAAGCCTCTAGCATTCCCACTCTCTATTATTGGTTTTGCCTGAAATCACAGAATTTACTGTTTTTGATACATGTGGTTAATAGAAATATGTATTGTAGTTGTGGAGAGAGCTCTTACCCACATGACCAGACTCTCTTGGCCCTTGGTACTCTCAGAACTAATTGGTTTTCTTCCTGATAGCAATTCAAGTAGAACTACGCCAAAAGCATAGACATCAATTTTGTCGCTGACTTTTCCGTACATGAAATATTCAGGAGCAAGATACCCAAATGTTCCAACAATATTGCTTTGGGTCACAAACGATGTAGTTGTCGGTCCCCATATTGCCAGCCCAAAATCGGATAACTTTCAGAGTAGGAAAAAAATAAGTCATGTCATAATATTCAGATAGTTTTATTTCCGACTACCGACAATCTGCATGAGTCTGCGTGGAGTACCTGTGGTTCAAATCTATCTGAAAGAAGAATGTTTGAAGATTTGACATCTCTATGAATAACAGGCCGAGAACATTCGTTGTGCAGGTAGTCTAGGGCTTCTGCAATTTTAACAGCTACATCCAATCTCACCTCCCATGACAATGGAGATTTGTCTTTGCTCTTTCCTACATGTCATATGAATTTCACATCAGGATTGTTTCTGTCAAGATTTACATAGTCAATAAAATCATGTACAGGTCAATAAAGGCTTACCATGTAGGTTTTCCTCTAAGCTCCCTTTAGACAAAAAATCGTAGACAGAAATGAGATCAGTAGCTCTGATGCAGACCCCAAAAAGAGGGGTGATGTACTTGTGGTTCAACGTAGAGATGATTTCAACTTCATGAGCAAAATCCTTCACTGCTTCCTGGGATGATTTCTGAACCTTCACTGCCACTGGCTTGCCATCTGGAAGAATCCCCTTGTATACACGGTTACATCCACCTTTCCCAGTCAAGTTTTCTGTCAGGCAAGATCAGAAATTTATTATGACCATTTCTAGAAGAGAGGAAATTCAGTTGGTTTAATCTCATGTGATTGATTCAGGGTAAAAACCTGAGTGAAAATTCGAAGTTGCTTCTTTCAGAACTTCGAAGCTGAACCATATGCAGCTGGATGAGCTTACTTTCAGCAGAATATCCAAGCCATTTTCTGGTTCACCTACTGGATAAGAACTACTACCATTGCTCTCCTCCAAGATGTTAATTCTCTCTCTTTCTTCTGCTGTTGAAACTCGAGGAGTTTGTCGAGGGAGCGATCTGGTAAGCTCATTGTCCACTGTACTACAGACTGCTCCCTGGAATGCAAGTTCTGTGGAATGGCTGAACTTGCTCTTCGAAGGAGGGGCCAACCAGGTCTCTGATCCAAAATATCTCCAGCAAAAAGAGAATTTGATCTCTTCTTACGTACACTTACAATGCTGAAAACTTCATCCTTTGAGTCTCCACTCTCATCTCTTGATTTCAGTTCAAAACCAGATATTTCAGTATCTGCCTCAGAATCGGCGAATTCAGATTGGATTTCTCTAAAACTGAATTTTTCATTTATATTGAAACTTGGTTTTGGATCTCCACCGAAGGCTGACATAATCGAAAACGACAGCAGTTATTTATCTTTTCAGGATCTATTCAATGGATTTTTCTTTGAGCACACAGGTACCAAACCTGGTAGTTGATTGTTGTTGCACCTTCTAAACAGAACTTTTCCTTTGTAGATGGCCAAAACATCTGTGTTTGGACGCAGTCGCTTGGAGCAATACCTAGCGGTAGAAGCCCAACCCCTGAAAGCAATATCTGCTCAGAAAAGAAGCATTGAACTATGACTATTGACTAACGCAGAACTTAAGAGTTTCTGGGTGTCCCTACCTTAGAGCACCCTGGCTACTGATCCCCACAACTACGGCTACAGCAGCAAGGTTCTTTGCCTCTCTTACCAGAGTCCTTCGAACCGAAATCCCTTTGGCTATCTGACCAGTGAGGCCTACCTGAAGGCAAAGCAAAAAAAAAAAAAAAAAAAAAAAAAAAAAATCATTTTCGACTGCAACTTTTGGTTTTCCAATTGGGGGTAAAAAAAGGGCTGCAAGGCTTATGATTACAGACCTTCTTCATGGAACATAGGCCATCATAGACTTGTAGATAACTATCCAACAAAAGCTTGTCTCTCAAAGCATGGCCTGCATCAACAGTTCATATTTCAACAAAATCATTAAGAAATCATCCACAACTAATATACTCTTTAAAAAAAAGATTAAAAAAAAAAAAACTCCACTGAACTGTTGAAGACATTACCAGAACTGTCACAAACATGAACAGCAATAACACAATCACCAGGTTCAGCAACCTTTACAATAGCCCAGCTAAGCAGTTCTCTGCTATGGCTATCTATTCTTATCCCAACCAACACATTCCTCCTATCAACAGCCTTAGCTTCCAGCACCTCAACTGTCATTTTTTCTTTTATTCTTGATTACTCACTTCCACCATATCAAAGCATCTATATATTCTGTTCCTTCTAGAATTTGCAGAAATTCTGGAAATTTATTCTCTTTAACACCCTTTTCGCTTCTTGAAACAATCATTTCAGTCTCTGCAACACAAAAGAATTGACATGGTCACAAGCTAGAATGATTAAGAAACTGTAATATTCCCCACCACCATATTAGTCACTTTTGGCTACCACATGAGACATATAAATACAACCCATTTATAGATTCCCCTTGAATAATTAATCCAAACTCAAAAACATAAATAAATAAATGAACTTCTCTGATTACATTAATCCACATGCTAGCTGACCATGACATAAAACTAGAAACGTAAATACCCCCAACGAGATCTTGAAAATACATATAAAAACAAAAGGTGTGAATCATACATAAGATAAACAAAACAAGACAATAAAATAGATGTACCTAAATATTTTTGTAGCCATTTGTTGTTCGAGACCAACATGGAATTTAAAATGAAATTGCCGCCAAATATCATCACCCTCTTAGCTAATGAACCTTGAAAGGTTATGGATTTTTTACTAATAAACTAAACATGAGTGCTTTGGCGACTATTAAGATTAGTTAAACAAATGAGCTATTTTTTTGTTTAAAAAAAAGGGAAAAGCAAGTAAAGATCAACAATGGAAAGAAATAAACTATGGAGACGAAAGTGTCGGCAAGAAAAGGGAATTCCCCGGGAAAAGTGGTCAAGAAAAATTATGCGTGCTAAAAGGAGAATAAAAAAGAAAAGAAAAAAAAAGGAAGTGGTGGTCTTTATAAAAACAAAAATAAATAATACCATATTTATAGTTTCTTCATTACTAATAATTTTATTTTAGGTCGTCAAAAAACCTGCAAATTTCGCGGGAAACGCATGATATCCGATCGTTAGAGGAACTAACGTAAAGGCCTTCTAGGGGCTTAACCACCGGCTGTTTCGGGCTGCAACGTAATCTAACCACATGCTTGAGATATATTAGTACGTATTTTTCCCCCAAGCCCATGGAATTTTTTATCTTTTGCCAAAGCTTAAAGTCTGAAATTATGTTTTTTTTGTTTTTTCAAAGATTGAGAGAAATTTCGTTGTTTTGAAACGGAGAAATTTTTTTGTTAATGATGTTTTTTCCTCAAAGTATGACGTGAAACTGATTAAAGAGCTAGAAACATCATGCAAAGTAGAGAAATACTATTACATTCTAAATTAGAGACTTTTGTTCCTTGTTTAAAAAGATTACGAGGTTAGGTTGTTAATGATATTTTTGAATGTTTTATTTCAAAATTATGGATCTATAGCCTCTAATCAACAATTAACCATTGTGGTTGATGATAATTCACAAAACAAAAGTGGTTGTTCGAGGAAATTGCCTAAGCATCTATTCTGGGTAAGGACACCTAAACTGTTTGGTCATCGTATCCTAGTTTTGTGCATTCAAATCATTTGCATGTAAAAAACGTGGTCCATTTGCAATATCTTGTTCCATAGATATATATATATATATATATTAGATAAAATTTTGTAATCTATAATCAGTGGTTAGACAATTAAATAATTAGCGTTAGTATTTAATGGGAAAGAAAAAAAATTACATTACCACTGCAGATTGAATTCCCTATTCTGATTTTTTTTTTTTTAATTCAAATACTCTGCTATTACTAGAAGGAAAAAAAAAAAAAGAGTATTGGTACAAATGCTTTAAAAAAATCCTACTCGGGTAAATTTTATTTGGATATCGAAGTCTTGACTTTGGTATATTATCTATTAGAGATGAAAATGATCACTAATATATAGTATATGATCCTTTCTTTAGGGGGTCATTTTTTTTCAGGAGCAATTTCATGCAAAAGGCCATCTTTTCTTTGCGAGAACCCATCCTTTTATTTTAGCCATGTGTAAATGTACGTGTAAGCACAATTTCCAAAGCCATAAAAACATGCCCTTCATGGACGATGATGAAAATTGACAAGACATGTGCTTCTGTTGTTTTAAGTAATACAACTAGTGCATTTCCTGTCTTTGCTTTTCACGTTTACTTTTTCTGTAGATGGTCCTAAAAAGAGCCGACGACTCGTCTTTGTCAAGCCGAAAGGGATAAAGTTTGGCGTGGAGTAATGACGCGGCAAGTGAGATAATTCTTCATGATTTTCAATTGCTTGTTTGCTATATAGTTCATACTCGTCTAACTTTCTAATTGGGACAAAAAAGGTGACTTTGATCCTTGACCCAAGATTGATTAACATTAAAATTTTCAAAGTCTTGTAAGCTTAGCTCATAATTTTGGCTTTGTACACTGGTTAGGGACTACTATAGTTTTCTTGAAAGACACAAATATTAGTGTTTTATACGTCTAATTACATTTAAATTTAGTTTGATTGAGGATAAACTGAAAGTGGCATTAATGTTATATATGTCTAAATACTCTCCAATCTCATGATCGTCCTCTCTCAACCGCTAGCTACAGACACAGTATAAATTTCTATTTTTTCAAGAGAAATAAGCATATATAAGATACTGTTGTCCAGCAGTTGACTAAGGGAATAAATAAAAAAGGACATGGCAACTGTTTATGATTGAAAATATTATTAATTTATAGCTGATTTTATATTTAACATATGGCAACGGATTATTCAGATTGATGACTCTCTTTTAAAATGCATTTCTTCTTTCTTACCCTTGGTATATTACCATTTGGCACATTGCAAAGGCAACTTCAATTCATCTCATTCAAAGAAATGGGAAATCCCACGTTTTATTGTTTATTATACGATTTTCAATAATTTATAAGTGTTATTTACATGATAAATGTGTCTTTTTCTTTATGTTATTATTATGGATTTAAAAATAAAATAGTTTGTCGGAGGTAATTTTTTTATATATAAATTTATCAGTTTGTATAAATTAATATTACCTATTTAAAAAAATCTCTATAAATAAATTTTGGAAGGCTGTTGAAAGTTAAGTGCTAACTAATTGGCTTAAGTTATTTTAGCTGCCGTGGTTTTTGGGGAAGTGGTTGGTCTTGATTCCCCAAGTCTAATTGATTTCCTAAAGCAGAGTATGCCATAACGCAATTAGGCAATTTTGGATCTTCAGTTGCTGGGACGAAATTGCAGTCTTCTGCAACTTTAGTTGGTCAAATGTCTTTTTTGCCATACGTGTACTTGTGTATGCACCTCAGCAAATCCGCCGACGAATCAACACTAATGGGACACTTGTAAATTCCTATGCCTATCCATTTTTTATGCATCCAAATGGCAACTCTACTTGTATACTATTCTTTGACTCACCAACTTATTTACAACTTAATAAATTATGGAGACCTACGTGGATAGAATTTCATAGTAGAAAACATTACACAGATTCAGTATAGCAGTTTCCTTAAGTCCATTGAATTTTTTTATTATTTATAATCTTAATTGTTCATAATATAAATAAAGATAATAATACTTACATTTGTAATAATTACTTAAAAAAAATGCTAATAAAAATTCTATTACATCCATTAGATTTTTTTTTTTATAATCGTGATTGTTCATGTTATAAGTAAAGATAACAACACTTGTATTTATAACAATTACTTGACAAAAGCTAATAAAAAATCTTATTATAGACATGAAGTAGACATCATTGTTAAATCACGTCAAATCTTTATATTGCATGATTATATTTGTCATTCTATAATGTTTTTTAACTTATTTATTTCCTAATGCAACTAACACATGTATCAATCCTTTATTATGAAAAAAAGAAAGTAATTTATAAAATCTCACCCCATTTTAAACCTTCACAAATCACAACAATATTAAAGCAAAGAACAAAATATTAATGATATCCAAAATAGATTTTTTTTTAAAAAAAAATAATAATGGGAATCTTAAAGTTTATTTTTTTGGACAATTGGTTATAAATAAAATCTCATGGTTAGCGGGTCCTTTTGCATTCTAAAATGTATATTATGATTAGTGCTGGTTTGAAGCCATGTAAAAGAAACCATTTGCTTGGAAAGTATAAATTTATATACCCTGTTCAATCCAAAATAAATATATTTTTTTTTACAAGAATATACCTAATGCAATATTCCTTGATTATAAAGAAATTTCATCCTTTTTTTTTTTTTTTTTTTGTAACATCACCTCATTTTGAACCTTCAAAATACATATTAAAACAACTTAACAAATTAGTGGGTCTAATGTTCAATTATTTGGGCAATTTGTAATAAATCAATCTAAAGGATAGTGGGTCTTTTTGCATTCTAACGTGTATATATAGGTCGATTAGTCCTGGTTTGGAGCCATGTAAAAAACCATTTGTTAGGAGAATATAAATGAGGTGATCAAAATGTTGGCTGGCCTACCTTCTTTCTTTTCCGAAATAATGTATAACATACCCATACCATCAGCCTTTTGTAATTATATACATGTTTTCATTTAGAAAATAGACTCCAAGTGCAGTTTTCCATCAACTCTTCATGTGCTCCAATAGTACACAACATGGATGGTAATCAATTGAGTGCTCTTTAATTTATTATTTATTTCTTCATCGTGGAAGCCTGTAAAGCTGCACGTAACATACTGCATGTTGTGATTAGCTAATTGGCTTTAGGGCTGCAGAAAAAGAAAAAAAAATGTTCATCATGGAAGCCGGTAAAGCTGCACATAATATACTGCATGATGTGATTAGCTAATTGGCTTTAGAACTACAAGAAGAAAAAAAGTATCGTACCATCCTTAAACTTTAACTAATTTGAGTCCTTTAACTTTTAAATATTTTTTCATGGTGATAACTTAAAAAATTTAAAGAAATAAAAAAATGATTTAAAGTTCAGGGTGGTTACAACTTTTAGTCAAAAAAAAAAAAAAAATTGGTTCAAAGTTTAAATTAGTTGCCTTCTGAATTATTGAAACTCTTATCATTAATAGTTATGCTGAGTATAATACCATTTGATGGATCAACTACCACGGTTTGGTAGGTATGCCATAAATATAATGATCATCTATCAATTACAATATATATCAGTCATGATTTGGACACTTTCTGATATTCATATTATTATTGCATGACACGCAAATGTCTAATTAAACTTTGAATCTGCATGTTACTAGATTTGTAGTGTTACTGTGTTGCTTAAGTTTTTTTTTTTTTTAATGAAATTTCTTCAGATTAATTTTTACATCAGTTGAGACTAAATCTATATTATTTTTTGGATTAAATAAACATAAAAATATGCTTAATTTTTTTTATGGAATATTGAACTGTTTTTTAAATCAAATCAGCTAAATATGATATTATTAAAAATAATTATATCTAATTATTCATAAAAAGAATAAATTAAACTTCATTCTTAATTAAATCAAAATAACTCTATTGCTGCTAGAAAACGTCTCTTGAGCTTTGACACAAAACAGTTAATCACTAAGAAAATGAAGTGGTAATATTCAAAACAAGGAAGGATTTGTTGCAACAAATCAAAACTTGGCAACTTCAGATAGATATTTTTTTGGGTCTAATGGAAGACCAACCAAACGTGAAGGTATAGAATTGACTTGTGTTATCCCATCCCCACAGTCAAAAAGATGCTACGACTAGAAGACTTGCATGTTGCATGCAGTGAATAAGCCGTGTCAAATTATACTTGGTTAGGTTAGTTTTGTAGTGACATCGGTTTATGGTTTAACCTTTTTTTTTTTTCCTACAAAGAAAAAATGGTTTATGATTTAATTAATTTGAGTTTGTTGTGATCTGACACTAACCTACCATGGAATTGCTGGGATTAACTACAGTAGTACAAATCTAATGGGCCATTGACTTGGTAGGATTCATGTCAATCATGTCTCTCCCCTCTTTCTTTTTTCTTTTTTGTTCTCTCTACAAAAGATTGAAGTATTTGTAGCCAACTTTCGTATATTTGATATTTTCAGGTACTTTTAACGTATCCATGTCAAAATCATTTAAAAGAATTTGGAAAGACATTAACTTTATACTTTTTCAATTTAAATTTATTTTGAAAAGTGTTTTCAAACACATTCCGAACATATTATCAAATCAAATCTATTTTTTTTTTAATAATTGGATTTTAGAAAGATCACCCACACTTAATTGATGCATAAAAAAAAATTCATTACAACCTTTTAACTCAAACTCCAAATGATAATATCAAGCGTAATTTTACTTACTAATAAATTGATTAATAACTTCATTAATTATTGGTTGATTAAGGCAGAAAATTTGGGCGATTAACTAGTCTTCTCGGCATTCATGAAACTTTATTGTTAATAGACTATCCATGTACAACAACAGCGCTAGCAAATTGATTTTATTGCAAATGCAGAGCAGATTCAGCAGGAGCTCCTACATGCCAATGGCCTAGGACCAAGGAGAACAATAAGTTCAAAAGTAGCCAACCATTTATTTCCAAGCAATGAAAGACTCAAATTACAAGTTATTGGTATTATAGGATCATTACATGTAAAAGGTTAAGTTTATAAACGAGGGTTAAAATATAATTTATATTAGTCTCTAATACATCTTTTTAGTGAAAACCTCAATATTTGGGTTTAAAATTTACACGAGATCCATATTGTCTTGTGCTTAATATTTGAAAAATTGAGGATGATGAAACTTGAACTCGGAATCACATGATCAACCAAACTCTAATATCATATTAAATGATCATCTAATCTAAAAGCTTAATTAGTTGATAGGTGAGGCCTCGGAATATAATTTATATTAATATCTAATAAATTGGCTTGTAACATTTTCTTGTTTTTATTCAGCACAACATAAGCTGCAGAATTTGTATTCCTTGACAAAGTAGTATGACAAATAGATAATAGTTGATGGAAAAATTGATAGTACTATCAAACAAGAACATATTTGGTGGACTCCATGGCCTATCCCATGGCATACTTTTGAGTCCAGTTCCTAGCAGTAGACTCATACTTGCTTTTGTCGGCCTTGCACATATGGGCTATTTCAGGAACAAGAGGATCGTCAGGGTTTGGATCTGTAAGCAGTGAACATATGGAGAGTAAAACCTGCATGCATCCCACAATAATAATTCAGAATTATTTTTCTAAAAGCAATAGTAAAATTTCGATTACTTGAAGCCTTGAAAGGATTAAAAGAGTCATGAGGCATCAGCCCATTTCTTGAGAAGGGTTATTGAGTAATTGACCAATTGGGCCTAGCTCAAATGGAGGGAATACCGTAATAGGTTAGTTCATGTCTTCCTGATGTACCAGCAAAGAAAAGATACAAGGCAGTTTGAAATTTTGAGATTCATATGTTGATTCTTTAAAATGATGCAATCCTATAGCTTAATTATTATCCGAAGTTAGATGGAAATGATTTAAATTTTTTTTTTTTGGAGCCCCGGTCAAGGATGTCATTTAAGACAAGCACCTTTGATATGGTGAGTGCAGGACTCCATTGTTCCTTGAGTATGTCCAAGCAGATGTTCCCATTGCTATTTATGTTTGGATGGAATACCTTGGTCCTGAAGGCCACCTGCTTGCAATTATTCAATGAAGGTTATTACATAGACATGTTCAGATGGTAGAAACAGAAAGACAACACTAAAAAAAGGAAAAAAGATCATACCTTAGGAGGTTTGAAAGGATAATCAGGTGGGAAATGAATTGTAACGAGGAACACACCACCAGCATAGGGACTGTCATTTGGACCTATGATGGTGGCTTGCCAATGGAACATATCCTCAGCCACAGGACCTGAAATAAAAGTAGGAAAAAAGGCAATCAAGTAAGCTTCTAAACAAGAATGAACAATGATGTTGGTTATTTTATTCAAGCCTTCCTCTTCCTATTACCTGCACTGCATGAAGTAGGGGGATCTCTCTGCAAGTCCTTGAGCTCCTTCGATATTCTTTTTGATGCCATTTAAGTAAATTTAGTTGTTTCAATACGGAAGAGGGAAATTTAGAAGTAGTGATGATTGCAAAGCAAATGAAGAAAACCAAGATATGGATGCTTGCTGCAGGGAAGATGGTGTATTTAAAAGAGAAATAGGCAATGCTAGACAAGCGAGATGTGTATATGGCAGAGGTCCACACTAATTCTTTTTGCACTTTCTCTCTTTTAGATGGTGGGCAGAGTATAAATTCCAGAAAAAGTAGCAAGTAAAGAATCGTGGTTCTATGAAATGAACAGCCTGAAATGTATTTCCTGTTCTGCAATATAAAAATTACCACCAACTTATCATTCAAGCAGCATACAATCGGTATCAGTATCACTTAAAGAAATGGTTGGGATGGCCTGATAAGTGATAGAGGAACATCTTAGGATATTGCCTTCCCTTTGAGCCACTTGTGTTTTGCATTAACCTGCGTCTTCTGTCCTTAATAATCATCCATAAGGTCAACAAGATAGCTGAGAAGTCATTTCTTTCCAAATCTGTTTTTACTTTTCCCAGTCAACCAATTCATTCACATTTATATCATTCACTATATGAATTAACTAAACAAAAGGAATCCACCTTTTAAGTGATGGTCTTGGCCACCATCAGTAAATGAAATAATCATGATTCTAGTTCTAGATGCAGACATCACTTTAGATAACTGGATTTCAAAAGCTGACCAAAACTAATAGCGACCACTAGACACAAAACCATGCCCTACAAAGAAAAATATTCGTGCCCAGCTAATTCACATAAATGATATCTTGATTTGAGCATCTGCAAAAGCTTTGAAGCAGATGGGTGTAAAGAAAAATATCCTTCAAATTGAAAATGGACACTATATTCCTTCTTTCTCGTTTTCCTGATTTTGACTGGAGGTTTCGTAATAGCTGTTTCTCACCATTTAAAACACAAAAAATACAGCAAGAACAAAAGGGAGTAAATTATATATAAATAACACTAGTTACTTTATAAAATTTCTCATAAATTATACGTTAGCCATTCTAGTTTTGAGAAACAAATTGATTAATCCTTTTTAGTTCAAAAACTAACTATTTAATCATTTTTAGTCATTTTCTAATTTGTTTTAAGAAATAAAAGAAGGAAAAAGAAATAAATATTATAAGGAATTGATATATATATATATATATATTACAATAAAATAATACTAAGTTAAACATGATCAACTTTGGTCCAAAAAGTAAACGATTAGTTTTTGAAACAAGAAACTAATTTATAATTTTACTCAAACAGGAGCATACAAATCAGTTAAACCTGGATGAGAAATCAAATATAATAACACAAAAGCATAACCATATTAAGATTCTCTAAGTGCACTAAAACGGGCTACGGATCATTATACAAGAGAAAAAGGTTTGGTATTTCATAAGGGAATTATGCTTAGTCTAGTCTACAAAATGTAGATAGGCCTAAAGAAACAATAAATGCGTGAAAGTTAACAAACGCAACGTGAATCATTAATATACAAATCACAAAGCAACAAGCACAACTTGATTCTTGTAAGTGCCCCCTAGTTCTGTCAGTACAGACTACCGACCACATCCTGCTGTTCCTCGAGGTAATAGAGATGGCAATTAATGGGTGAATGCGCCTAATTGGTGATGTTTTACTCCAGAATTTTGTTGCGCAATCACAATATGGAGCAGGCCTTTTGTGCCTTTCTCTTCTTTTTCTTCTTCTGCTTCGGAGGCTGGAGGACCACCTTGATGGCTGCATCGAAGACAGCTTTGACGTTCTGTGTTCGAAAAGAGTAGATAAAGCAAATCCTGTTAGTATTGGGGTAAGCACCAACCTTCTCTCGTGATTTAACATCAAGAACTTAATTTGCATACCTGCTGTGTTTTTGAACTGCACTCAATGTAAACAGGAGCCCCTATTAGCTTTCTCAGTTCCTCTCCCTTTCAAAAGAAGATCAAATAAAAGGTTTTATTCCCTTTATATGGGCTGACATGATAGCATCCACAATAGAAGCAATAAGGTGAAGTGAACTAGCAAAATGATAGTTAGATGTGATGCAGCAGAAGTACCTGAGCCGTGGTGATGGGCACTGCACCCGGGTGATCTATGAAGAATTGCTTATCATCTCGGAGATCTACAGGGAGCAAATTTAGTTGTCATGAAACTTGGTGCTTGTCGACGGGCTAAGAAAGGATATAAGACTTCTACACTGACGCACCATATAATGAAAAATAACTTGGCAATTAACGGAAAGGGTAGTGCCATTTAGCATTGTAGGAGTTAGCTAACTCCAAGTCAATCATTGCAAATATATGCTTAACTAACACAGTTGTGGAATTCAACCAGAAATAATAAGGTACTGCTGAGCACATTTTGACGGACATCAGTTCAATTAGAGACACTTAAACCCTTTCGTCTAATGCAAATCCAGAAGAGGTATAGGATACAAAAGTCAAACATCTTGGCAAGCTACCAGACTCTAGTTTTTAGGCACTGGTGATCGAATAATGAAAACTTACTGAACGCATCTTTATTTAAAGTACCCGGTCACAAAACTTTCTGGATATGCTCAGATCTCCTCCACTTTCGAAAGGGTCATCAAACTATAAAGTAATTCTATCTTCTAGTATGCTCAGTAAGCCCATGCAGTGCAGTAAGGATGCTATTAATATGTTTAAATCCCAATGGTCATTTCTAATATACAATATAACTCCCCCATAATCTAATATACAATATAACTCCCCCATAATCCAAGTTCATTGAAATGGACCTTAAGAGCATGCACTTGAATGTTAATATATGATACTCTTTAAAGGAACATTGAATTAAGAACTCCTGGATAACAATGCATCATCTCAACTATCCCAAGATGGCCTCGAGAAGTTCGGGGGACTTCATCATCATGTCACTTAAAAGAAAATTAAGCGAACAGAGGAATTACAACAGCTGAAGTTACTACGTGCACCCATATAAATGAAGGGATCTTGAAAACCAAGTTCAGGATTCAAAGCTATCGGCAGAAAAAGCTAGTATTAAGCTCCTAGCAAAGAGTGTCATAATATAACAAACTTCTGCATTATTGGCATCTTAAAAGAGAAACAGAAAAAGGAGAGTAGGACTTACCGAGCTTTGTCCCAACAAGAATAATTGGAACACCAGGTGCATAATGCCTCAATTCAGGAATCCACTATGCATGACACAAAAAATAGAAAATTCATTAGCACATTGCAAATAATCAGACATTATAACATTTAAAGAAGACAAGAGCTTCTGAAGATAACGTTGGTCTTACTTTCTTCGCAACATTTTCATAGCTGGCCTTGCTAATGAGGCTGAAGGCAAGCAGGAAAACATCTGCCCCTCGATAACTCAAAGGCCTCAGTCTATTGTAATCTTCCTGACCTGTTCCGTAAAGTCAACACATGAAGTCAATTATAACGAGCATTCAAAGACAGGAAGGAAAAATTTATGAATTTGAAACTTACCAGCAGTATCCCACAACCCTAAATTGACAGTGCTCCCATCCACAACCACATTCGCACTGAAATTGTCAAACACAGTTGGCACATAATCCTGTTTCCCATTTTCAGACAATACAACAAAAAGAATCTTGATGTTAAAGCCGTTCTTTCTCTAGTCCATATTGGAAAATTATCAAAACTACATTGAAAAGAAAGGCAGAAATGCCGAATCACCATGACACCAAACATATGACAGAGCTTTCCCAAAGTTTAAACTTAGAGGAAATACTCAACATTTGAAAACAGAAATTTCAGTTATTTAAAAACAGGATTACAATTTCTACAAAAACCAAAACTGAAGAGAGAATCCAGAAAACACTCTTTTATTCTAGTTCTGCTCAGCTCAAAAGAATTAAGCAAGTATTTTCAAGAATATTGCAATGAAACACTGTGACCATCCAAAAACAACTGCAAAAGACAAACTGGTAGTAGTTTCAAAGTAGAAAAAACCCACCTAAACTAAACCTGTAATTAGTGTGAGGCTAACTTCAGTTGATTAACGTATTACATATTACAAATATAAGAATCTTAATTTGTCTCCACATTTTGTAACGAACCTAACAAAACCCCCAAGTTAACACTTCAATTAGCTTGTAAAAGCTATGGTCAGTTGACTGATTCTCCCTATCAGTCCCTACACAAGAACAAATTCACCATAAACAGACAAAACAAAATGTTCAATTTCCTCTCAGTTTCCACATTCTCGGGTCACTAAAACAGAATCAGATGCCAAAAACCATGATCCTTGACCTTCCAAGCCAGAGTTTTTAAACAAAGAAAAAACATCTCGGCAGACCCAATTACTTAAAAAATAATGCTTCGTTGACTTAACATGACAAATTTCAATCTAGAATTCTCTTTACGTTTCTCACATTTTCCAGGGAAACAAACAGAAAACCAAAGAAAAGACCTAAAATTGATACCCCATTATAGGTTTTGAGCCAAAAAAGCAAAGCTCCATCATCTAAAACCAAGTACTTTTATCGACCCCATTTAACAATAATATCCTCCATAGTCCGGGTTTCTAAAACAGAAACATATACTAAAAAAAATTAAGCTTGACCTCTCAATCCGGAAGTTTTGAAAACACAGAAAAAAAAAAAAAAAACAAACACAACCTTGACTAACTCAATTACTTAAAACTCATGTTAGATTGACTTGACATGATAAATTTCAACCTGCAATACTCTCTACACTGTCCCATTTTCGAGGGAAACAAACAGAAAAACACAAAAAGATTAGACCTTTCCATCCAATTTTAGGTTTTTAAACAAAAAGGCAGCACCCGATCAACTAAATCCAATTACTTTCATCAACCCCATATCTTCCAGTTTCCAACATTTTCCAGGGGGAAAAACAGAAAGCAAAACTTAGACCTAACCTTTACAGTCCAATTTAAGGTTTCAAACCAAAAAAGCAGCACCCCATCAACTAAAGCTAATTACTTTGATCAAACCCAGTTGACTTCAAACATATCTTCCGCTTTCCCACATTTTCTTTTCTTTAGAACCAAATAGGAACTAAAACAAAAAACAAAAAGAAAGTAAAAGATTGTAACTTTACTTACAGTAGGGAAAGTGTTGCTGGTGTAGGAAATAAGCATGCAAGTCTTGCCAACAGCACCATCCCCAACAGTGACACACTTTATGAATCTTGAAGCACTCATTTTTCTTTCTTTCTTTCAATCACAAAACCCTAATGGTCAATTCTTGAATTTTCATAGAGAAACTGAAAGAGAGAGTAATCTGAGTCTCTTAAGTTAGTAGTACAAGAAAGAAAGAAGAAAGAAAGAAATGTACTTAAGAAGCAAGCAAAACTAAAAAGAACGAAAATTTAGGGAGCTGGGCCTAGAGAAAGAAAGAACAGACAGCTCTTGCCAGCTATACGATACCTATATTTCATGCCCCGATATTTCTACTCCTACCAATGCATCCACCACGCCCATCGCTTTCAATGTTTAATTTTTTAATATTTCCCTATCGATCTTAATTATAATTCAATCACCTTATATATATTTCGTCCTTTTCACTATTTTCATACTAACTAGAAAATTATTATGCAAATCTGTTCCACCATTTCGTCATGGACGAAACCAATAGCATTGATATAATATACTAAAAAAATAGATGTATATTTTTTTATCCAAGCTATATAAGCAACCCTAACTAAGAAATAAATAAATAATAATAATAATAGGAAGAAGAAAAATAAATGAGAGTGGTTGCATGTCTCTATGCTCAAACAACTCTCTATTCTAATTTTTTCCCACCTTCATGGCCTGCAATCTTTCATTTTCTTTTATTATAACAATTTCTCTTTATTCCCATCAATGTTTTTTATTGGTTAAGGAAAATTCTTATGGTTTTCTTGATTTTTTACATGATAAAACCAAACAATAATAAACCATTAACCCAAAAAAAAACAGCTAAATTGGTTTTTGCAAGCCTCGAAATAAGTAGATTGAGAGAAAAGAAACTCGGGGATTAAAAAAGGCCTAGTATTTTATTTTCTATTTTCAACTTAACCATGATTTTTTTTTAATCAATGACGTGAAAATTTTGTTAATGTATTTAAGTATTTTGGGTTTGATTTATAAATTTATGTGGTGGTCCAGATCTATTTAATAATTTCTCCATGTTAATGCAGTCTTGAGTGGTTGGATTAAAGTGATAGATGAGTTTGTTATATCTTCTTCAATTTAATTTGAGTTGCCGTAAGAAAAAAAAATACAAAAATTAGTCTAAAAATGTAATAATTTTAGTATGTGTAAATTAATCTGAAAATATCAGAAATTTCACTAAAAAAAAGTATTTCAAATTAGGGCATGGAAAATAAGTTTTGATGGTAATTTTCTTGAGCCAAAAATTCAGAAAAGATCTTGTATTGACTATTTTGCTAGTTGGTGTTACCCCCTTGGTTTAATCATTTTAGTGATGCCCTAACGCAAATTGACGAACCTGAGGCTTGTGAAAAATATATGGTATTATTGGGCTGGGCTTTCTTTTGTTTATTTTATAATAATACGGGCTCGGTTTGATCGTTATAGCCTTATAGTATCCATTTAATTTTTTTATTTTCATTTTATTTTTTTATATATAAAAAATGAAGTATATGAGAAAATTAATATTCAATAGCACCTTTTTTCTGCTTACATAGATTGCTATTTGGGATTAGTTCTCTGGCAGTATTGAAGTTTAGTATTGAAGTTTTCTGTTCCTTTTTTTGGATGCAACTTATGTCTTATTTGGTGGACAATCCGTGAGTGAGCATGTAATGCCAAATTGAAAGAATAAAATAAATGAGGCAGCATGCATGTGAACCATAAAGTTTGCTTGTTTTTTTTTGTTCTAAAATTAGAGATGAAAATATGGTTAATAAAAATTGTGATTTGGTTCTAAAATGTTTTTTTTTTTTTTTTTTACTTGAGAAAAAGGGAAAGGAATGGAGGCAGAAGTAGCAACATATAATTCAATTAAAGTTGGTTTTTAACTACCTTAATTATAGTTTTCATTACAATTACTCATCCCTTGTCTCTAAATTCCAAACTTGAAATTCAATTTCCTATAGATGTCACAGGAGCATTTCTTTATGCTGCAAATGCATGCTCATAACACCTCCACTAAGTTTAAATTTCAATTCTTGTTATAAGTATTTTTGAGAGTTTATTTTCAGAACATTCGAAATCGTATATTAGGAAATACTTCGTAGCTATGTTTAAGGAGAAATTAGTCTTAAAATATTCAAAAACTAATATGAAAAAACTTTAACGGTTGAATTAGAAAAAAAAAAAACCCGGACAACTCTAGAAAGGGAAGACTAGAAAAATTTGAGGCAAAATGAGCTTCTTGTTTTTTTATTTTTCTTCTTCCTAAACGTTTCCATGCATGATGCATCAAAAAAAAGTTGACCTTTTGTTTTTAATAAATTGAGACAAGGGCCATAAAAATAATATGATAAAGTCTTTCCTCCTCTTTTAAAATGCAGACTTCACAATGGAAAAAGGTATTAATTAGTTTGATTCATTGTACAATGTCTTCCACAAATTTTCATTTTTCTCAATTAAATTTTTTGGTACTAGTCAACGTATGTTTCCTTTTTTTAATTATGTGTCAAGTCAATATATGATCTAAATATACCGACCAACTAGTTTTAAAAAAATACAATGTTCAAACTTTACGTACCTTAAACACAAATTATGTTGTATGTATCATGGAAGCACGTATAAACTTCTTTTCTTAACATGTTTTATATGCTGGGTTTCTAGAATTCATCAACTTTGAATTATACTCAAAAAAATATTTAGTGTCGGGGGTCCAAAAATGCCACACGACTCTGCAACTATTATAGAAAAGAAAAAAAGAGGCTATAGCCTGGCAGAAGGGTGAAAAATTCACCAGATTTGACGAATTTTACTCGTAGAGTTAGATGGGTTGGTACGGTTGCCTTCAATCGGAAGCAATTTGACACTTGATAGGTTGATGAAAAAGAGAGTCCTTGGCTTTCAAGGGGAGCCAATAAGGTGTCACAAAAATGGTGGAGGCCAATCATGAATTGAAACAAGACATGGTTCAATCTGCAACTAGAGTTGGTTAGCATCATCCTACGTTGTTCGAGTACATGTCTATATCCTGACCCATCTCACTCAATAACTCTCTAACCACCTTTAGTCCTCCATGGAAAAAGGAAGGTAGTTGTTGAATGTGGTTACTGGCTAAGGGACCATTGTGAGTTTTTCGTATCATTAAATTTTGACATGTCAACGGCAATTTTGTCTAGGATTTGGCAAATGTTAAGGTCCCATTTGATGTTGTAGCCTGCCAGCAATATTACAAAAGGAAGAAGCCCTTTTACCTATATGTGAGGAAAAACCAGGGCAGCATGTGATTGATGAGCCAATTTTATGAAAATCTAAGAGGAAAATGAAGTGTAACGAGTCAGAATTTCATTTGCCAGAGCTAGAATCCTTCATTTTCTTAGGCTTACATATGCAAGTACCAACTCACTTCTCTATCAATCTGTTTTTATTTAATGCAATGTTGCTTTCATGAGTCATGATTAATCATCATGACCTAACAATTTGTCCAGACATTAGTATTGTATTATTTGCCTAATAAGACAGTAATGTTAGCTAGACCTTAACCTGCTAGAGTTCTGCAGCTCAAACACAGGTTCTGAATGGTCCTCAATAACAATAATTTTTAAGTTTATAGGTAGTAGAAATGTCCTAATTTTCAATGATCCCAACAATAAACTCCTTATTAGGCAAACTAAAAATACTAATAAATGGCAAAATTTGGACAACACATGGGGTGGTTAGCAGCAACTCCATGTGCATGAATGGCCAACTATCCCCTCGAGTTACTTTTTCAATTCAACATCCTATCCTGAGATGCCACGATCCCTCCCTATCAGCTTCCCATCAATTTCTTCTTGTTCACATCAATACTATACAAATCATGATGCTCTGATGCTTATTCTTCAAACTAAATGTAGATCTTAGTGGGCAATGATGGTGGTTTAATGGTAAAACAACTTGCTTAATAGTGTCCAAAAGATGGTTCAAGTTCAAACAAAAGAAAGGTAAGATGGGATTTAGGGATTGAAGAAAGACTTGTATAGCCAAAGATTCGTTGGACCTCCCATAGTGACAAAAACCTACTTGCTTGATAATGGTTAAAATGAATGCTCATATAAAGAACCTCATTGCCGTAATCAGTATTGTCAACTCTTTCTTTGATAATCGCTATGGCAGAAATTGAAATGATAAATAAGCAACTTAACCTTGTAATTTTCATGCAACAAAGAAAAAGTACAAATAATTTTACAAGATTTTATCAAATTATAGAGCCAGAAGGTTCCAACTCTACCTGCTCGATTATCTCACTGCTTCAAATGCAGCAACCTGTTTCTTTCACCTTCAACTTTAGAGATAATAGACTGCTCCTTCTTAAGTCCTCAAAACTTTAAGCAGGAGCAGGAGTATCAAAGTTTTTGTATCTCCCACAGTTTATTTCAAAATAGCTGTGTTCTCAAGCATAAAATCTCAATTGTTCTGTGAGATGTAATTTTCCCCACGATGAAGTAGAAAACGTGTTCCAAAGTGAGCAGAAATGCAGGACTCATAGTTCTTCGTCTGAATCAAATAGATCTAACTCAATCATCTTTGTTGTCCCCTGCTTGGCTTTGTCTGCTGAAGCTAGCCCCTGCTCAGTTTTCTTCCTTTTTAAATCTGGTCGGTTTTTTGTGACCATAGATGGATCCAATTTAATTGTAGATGATTTCCTGAAGAATGACCCGGATGAATGTTTAATGGCATAGAAAGGCAAACTCAAGTGCATAGATCAGATGTGTATGATTAATGGCATCAAATGACTGATTCACCTTTTCTCTGAACTATTTATTTTTTGGTTTATCGTGGCAGATACTTTATCTGAATTTTTTGAACCCAGTTTTCCTGCAAATACCAAATAATGAGAATTCAGGAGATGATATAAAATCAGAATCCGCATTAACAGGTAAGGTCAATGATCTTAAACCTGTGATTTCATTGAGAAACCTTATCCCTTGTGAGTGTGAATTTGTTGTCACTTTATCCGCATTGCTGTTGTTCAAGTACAACAATCAAGTAATTAGCAGCACTTAAAAAGCTTGTAGTTTTAACACAGAGAATGAGAATTAAACATGCAATCTATGACAAACCTCAATGCTCTTTTGAGTGCTTCCACAGACAATAATTTCACTGGTGGAGTGGGCTTTTTTAAGTTTGTCTTGTCCGCTAGAGGGTCAACCAAGTAAATGCCTCGCGACTTGAGAGGATCCCTGAAGGCTGTTCTCAAGTTCCTGACAAATGAAATTTACAAGTTTAGGAGACTTGTGATAACTTTCATTTTTTTCAGGGAATGAAGAGAAGTCAAATTTAAAAGAAAGGTTGCGGACAAGTTTCTTTGTATTATGCAAATGTGAAACAGTAGAAGCTACAAACTTTCAGATGATTCCAAGTGTTGATCACGTACCCTCCCTTAAGCTCAGTTCGCACGGTGGAAAACCTCTCTGATGCTTTCTGTAGCAGTAAAACAGGTATAAGTGGGTCCATTCTAAAGACATGTTGATCAAAATAGGCAGCGGCATTGGAGAGTCATACTTACAGATTTATGATATCTGCAATATATCCCTTGACGTCTGAAACAGCAAAGTGACCGAAGTCAGACTATCAAGAATCACAATTGCATGCACTACTGCATCGGAACTTTGATGCAAGAATATGAAACCTTACAATCCTCTCAAATATGAAATTAAGTGTAGTGTTGCTATAGAAAGACAAAGGAATATATCAAACTTGGCTGAGATTGCAGATAAAACTTTCTTGACTGTGGGTTCAGAAAAGTTGTCTAGTCCCTGAAGAATTCAGGTAGAGATAACTTGTTCGAAATTTCATCTTGCTATAGGAAGTGACATGATTTTAAAGATGCCTGGAACGTACTTATTTATGACTAGTGTACAAGCCAATCCATCCTTCCTTTTTCCCTTGCAAACTCCATAATCAATTGAAGTGCCCATCTTTAATATTTGATTTGCTGAGAACACGCTGAAAGAAAAACCAGCTCCCTGCAAAGTGAAAAAATAGAAGGTTTCATCTTTTTAGCAAAAGAAAAGTAACCTCGCAGGACAGAAAGGATATGACAAGCTGATAATACCTCATTGTCCTTGCGAACAGTGCAATTGAATAGTGCAAAAACTGTTCCAGCTTGCTCTTTACAGTTCTGCTGATAAGCATCGCCAAACAAGAAAAGAGATACACTACTTTCGTCTAGGGACCCAATTTTCCATATGCAATAGCTCTTCCCAACAGAACTAGTCTTTGGACTTCCCTTCTCAATCAACACTCCAACAGTTGCCCAAGATCCCATGAGAGTGTCTCCCATTAATAAATTTCTACAAAACCATATAAAAGAAATCATGACTCGTGATGCAATTCAAAATCCAATTAAGCCTTCCAGCAGATTCAGTTTCTGTAAAGAAGCAAATGACTTCAAATATCACAACTGTTAAACACACGCATATACAATTATTTGAGGTACAGGAAAATTACTTAATAGTTGGTAACCGAACAAAGCGAATGTCTGAGAAACGTTCGCTGAGCTCCGAAGGGGTGACCGATTGATTCCTGAAACAGAAAGAAATACATTAACTATAATACAGAAAACTTCGTGGGTTTTCTCAATTCTATTTTAGCTTCCATTCGGTCACTGTGAAAGTAACAAAAGTCCATTAGTGTCAACTCTTCTCTCTTGTAAGGGAATGGTATAAACTACACAATTAACTAATTTAATCTAATCTCATAACATGAATGGATTAATAAACAACCAACTTTAACTACCCAAATTGTTCACATTTAAGTAAGAAACCTAATAGCGTTACTACGTCAAATAGTAAGCTGAGTATCAAGTATCATTTAGAATGCAATAAATTATAGTTTATTAAAGCTACCTTATTCTTAAACCTGAATACTTCTCCACGTTAGCTTCATTGTTCTTTGAAACATTCAATTTTTTTCCAGCTTTCTCCACTGGTTTTGGCTCATAATCAAGACAATCTTGAACAGCATCTCTGAATACTGACAAATCAGCCTGCCTTTTTCCCCTAGGCGATCCATCATCCGATAAATATCCTTCACAATCGAGACAAATCAAGACATGCCCCACAATAAGTTCTCAAAACATACAACACAATCACGCAAACATTACCAGCCCCATAAGCAAAATGAGAGATACACAGCAAAAATTAGCAAACAAGCTCACAAATAAACACCCTGATTGATTTTTATCAGAAACTAGCCACCCCATTAGAGAATTAAAAACCTATAAGCCCAATGAAGAATAAAAAACCAGTACACACAAATAGCCACAGATTTCGAGAAAACAAAGAGATGCCCACAACAAAATTCTACCAAACAAAGCCAAAATCAGTGACCCTTTCACGAAAAAATTGAACTATATCTGTGAAAACTAAAATTTAGCAATACTCGTTAAACTATCCAATATACACACACAAAAATAAAGAAATCCTGTAAATTAGACCAAACTAAGAGAAACCCGCATTAGGATTCAATAAAACAAGCCTAAAAAACAGCATAAGTTCCAATTTTTCTTGCAGGGCATTAAAAAAAGATCGAAACTATCACCGCCTTTAAAACTGAATTTTTACAGTACCATATGAATCTTGAAAAAATCATAGTACCTGGTGAAAGAGGGTGGTGATTTGATGGGGAACCAGGAGGGGTTTCAAGAACTCTGTCTTGAAGAGAGAGGAGAAGGTCAAGATCTTCTTGGTGGCTACTTGACATTATTGTTGATTTCCCAGAGTTAACTCTGTCTTCTCGTCTAGAGTGAATTTTGGTGGTTTTGTTTCTCTAAATTTTGTGGGAGGGAAAGTTTATTTTTGGGAGGGAAAGAAGTGAAAACAAAACGACAAAACGGTGCCGTTAAAGCTTTCTTGTTTTGCAGACCTAAATTGAGATAAAATTCCTTCTCTTTTTTATTGTTATTTATTTATTTTTATTCACGTAACTCATCGCAACATGAGATTTGTTTGCAATCATTTATATATTAATCAATTCTTTTGTTTTAATAAAATCTATCTCTGTATTAATTGCGTTAAAAAAAAGGATTTTTTTAAATGGCATTAGAATAGCTTGTTTAATGGTTACTATAATTCTATAATAAAAACATATATGGCCGACAGAGGCCCATGAAATAGCTATCCTTTTAGTTCTACATGAATCTTATGGTTGGTTTGAGTTTGTTTTAATTAATATGCTCTTCTTCATGAACATTTTTCAGACTTAGTGATTGTAGCCCATTATGAAATCGAAATCATTTTCTCAATGGATAATTGAACAGTATGCTTTTTTATGTAAGGAGGTAAATGTCCAATTTATTTTTTATATTTTAAAATTAGCTAATTCTGATTTTGTATTTTATCTGATTTTTCAATCTGTTTTTCAAGCAAAATTTTCCGAACCACTAGAAAAATTAGGTGACTTGCATGTCTATTTTCTTTCGAAAATTAATACCCATCATTGAGCATGTGCAAGTCACATTTTTTAGGAGTATTTTTGGTAAAAAAATAATCACGTGCAAGTCACCTTTTTAGGATATTTTTGGTAAAAAATTTATGAGAATGACATTTATTGAAAATTTATTTAAAATACAAGGGTATAATTAGATTATTAAATCACATTTATTACGAAATTAGGATTTTTTTTTAGTTGAGAGTAATTTTTTCTTGGTCTAATTCTAAATATATCATTCCCACTTTGTTGATATATTTATATGAAATTATAATTTTCCTTATAATTTAAACCCTAATAAATGATAAATTTGGCAGGATATATATTCATCACCTCCGCAGGCATCTTACATGTATAATTCACATTGTATAATCGCTACATTCCGATTTTATTTTTCTTTTACACTTCAAAATAATACGAGAAGCATTATTTTGTAATGGGTCCTAAATTTAGCAGTCAAACCTTCACCTTCGAATTGCATGAGCATGAGGTGGACTTGACCCGCCAGATTCAAAAATCTGTTACAGTTAAATCATGTGGTCACTAACCAAGTCAAAACCATCCTAACTATGGTAAACTCGAACGTGAAACTCTCTTCATGAGCCAGCAATTGACCAATACCTTAAAACAGCAACCTATAAGAGCCCGATTGTCCGAACTTTCCTCTGTGACCTTCTTTTAGCCTTCCATTTCTCCCTATATCATTGTCATATCAAATACCTGCATTTTCAGCTGCTGGGTACCTCCTTCTTCGAACCGAAGAGGAGTATATGCCCTAAGATTGGCTCACAAAACTGGAAAAAAAAAACAGTATATCTTCCTTTTTTTGTCCTTTAGTTTTGGTTGCGTAAGAGAGGTAAACATGGCAGGAAAAAGCCATGTTCTTTTAATTACTACACTTCTTTCCTTGTTGGTTTCTTCAGTCATTGCTCATGGGGCTAAGAAAGTAGGTGTGACTTATGATAGAAGGTCCTTGATCATCAATGGCAAAAGAGAGCTTCTCTTCTCTGGCTCCATTCACTATCCTCGCAGTACTCCTGAAGTAATAATAATGTTCTTTACTATCGACCTTATTCTACTTTTTTTTCCTTGTAATGGACAGGACTAATTGTTTTGTTGAATTTGGCTTCAGATGTGGCCAGAATTAATCCAGAAGGCTAAGCGTGGAGGTTTGAATGTGATCCAAACTTACGTCTTTTGGAACATTCACGAGCCGGAGCACGGCAAGGTAAAAGACTAGTTTTTTTTTCTGGCAATTAGCGTTTGTTGGGCTGATTTTGATTTATGTTTGTCATTGTAGTTTAATTTTGAAGGATCATATGACTTGGTGAAGTTCATCAAGACGATCGGCGAGAACGGTATGTTTGCGACCATCAGGCTTGGACCATTCATCCAGGCTGAATGGAACCATGGGTATGATTCAGCTCCTTGTTTTCTTCTTCTGATCATTGCACATTTTATTTTTCCTGCATCAGTTTATGTGTTTCTCTCTTACACCTTGTTTTCGACGTGATCTCTTAGAGGACTTCCTTATTGGTTGAGAGAGGTTCCAGGCATCATATTCCGATCCGACAATGCACCCTTCAAGGTAGTATCATCTTTCATAAAAAGAGGTTTCGTGAAATAATTAAGAAGATCATTTGACAGAAAGTTCCAAATTTTGCAGCATCACATGGAGAAATTCGTTACAAAGATCGTCAACATGTTGAAAGAAGAAAAGTTGTATGCATCGCAAGGAGGCCCCATCATCTTGTCTCAGGTTTGATTCCACTCTAATAATACCAAACTACACATCTTTTATTTTTACCATTGAACTTCTCATCCAATTTTTTTTCCCCTAATATTGTAATGCAGATTGAAAATGAGTACAACACTGTCCAACTTGCATATAGAAACTTGGGAGTTAGCTATGTTCAGTGGGCAGGAAATATGGCTTTGGGGCAGAATACAGGAGTCCCATGGGTCATGTGCAAGCAGAAGGATGCTCCTGGTCCAGTGGTAAGATAACAAGGTTTTCCATGAATCAACCTTCCTAATCTAAGAGGACTGATCTGCAGCTTATAAAGAAACACTCATGCTTTATTGTGCAGATCAACACATGCAACGGAAGGCACTGTGGAGATACCTTCACAGGCCCCAATAGTCCCGACAAGCCATCTCTATGGACCGAGAACTGGACTGCTCAGTAAGCATAGGCCTTCATGATTAGCACTGAATCATTCACAAGCATTAATAGTATAGACAAATTAATCTGTAAAGACTAGATAACTAGATAGAGCAGCAAATGAAGCTTTGATGCTGACAGCATTCCAATGAATGTTATGTGACAACAGGTTTAGAGTTTTTGGAGATCCCCCGTCCCAAAGATCAGCAGAAGATACTGCATTTTCTGTTGCTCGCTGGTTTTCAAAGAATGGTAGCCTGGTCAACTACTACATGGTAGGGAGAATGCTGAAATATCTGTAAATTCTTCCAAAAAGAGAATTTTTCTCTTGTGAAGCATTTTAATGCTGTGCTTTTGCAGTACCATGGTGGGACAAACTTTGGTAGAACTGCTGCCTCATTTGTAACAACCCGCTACTATGATGAAGCTCCTCTTGACGAATTTGGTAAGGTTTAACATCTTAATCTATGATGCTGTTACAAGCTTAGATCCTTCAACTAACTAATAGGCCTTTTATTTACACATCTTGCAGGTTTGCAGAGGGAACCAAAATGGGGTCACCTCAAGGACCTGCATAGGGCTATAAATCTGTGCAAGAAGGCTCTTCTGTGGGGAAGTCCCAAAGTTCAACAGTTGTCTTCTGATGTAGAGGTAAGCAGATAAGCATTGCTCTACGAGAAATTTGACCTCCATTCCAGAGTTCCCCTTTCAACCACTTAAGAAATAAGATGGTTCATCTCCAAAAATAAATGAATATAGTTACTTAAGCTGTCATACTTTACAGGCCACGTTCTTTGAGGAACCAAGAACAAAGAATTGCGCTGCTTTCTTGGCCAACAACAACTCAAAAGAAGCAGCAACTGTTAAATTCAGGGGTAATGAGTATTACCTTCCTCCCCGTTCCATTAGCATCCTCCCAGATTGCAAGACCGTCGTTTATAATACCGTGAACGTAATTCCTGACCTTTTACACTGTCTCCATTGATAATTGCTTAGAACTATAGAAGTTACTCTCAAAACAGATTGATTGCTGCACAGCCGCTACGTAATTCCTTCTTTTTCTTTCATGTAAAACAGGTGGTGTCGCAACATAATGCAAGAAACTTTGTGAAATCAAGAAAAGCAGGCGGCAAACTTGAATGGAAGATGTACTCAGAAACCATTCCAACTCAATTTGCAGTAGATTCCAGTATCCCAAAGGAGCTTTATAACTTAACTAAAGATACAACTGACTACGCTTGGTTCACCACGACGTGAGTGTATAAGCTCATTTCTAGTCCATCCATCTTCAAATGGATGAATTGTAACCCGAGTCACCTTGTGCTTCTACTGAAACCAAAATCTGACATGTTTCTGTAAATTCTAATTCCAGCATAAATGTGGATCGCCGTGATCTGAATGCGCGAAAAGATATTAATCCAGTTTTAAGAATTGCAAGTCTTGGCCATGCAATGGTTGCTTTTGTAAATGGGCAATTCGTAGGTAATAAGCACAAACACATCCTTATAATATTATTATAGCTCTGGAGCATGCTTTGGTAACAAGATTTTCTCGAGGTAACTGTGCTTAATGCTTTCAGGTTCTGCACACGGGAGCCAAATTGAGAAGAGCTTTGTCCTCCAGACATTTGTGGAGTTGAAACCTGGGATTAATTTTATTACACTCTTGGGATCTCTAGTAGGACTTCCAGTAAGTAACCATCATAACTAACAGATCTTCAGAATTAGCAAATGAATTTTAGAGGTGATACTGATGTAAGTTTCTTCTTATCAATGAAGGATAGCGGAGCCTACATGGAGCATAGGTATGCTGGACCTCGCGGTGTGTCAATCCTAGGTTTGAACACTGGAACACTTGATCTGTCATCCAATGGTTGGGGACATCAGGTATGGATGAACCTCGCATACATAGGAAATACTCAATCTCAAGTCCATTATAGAATAACACTACATTGATAGCAAAGGGCCAATGCGTGTCGCGTGATCCCCACTTGTAGGTTGGTTTGACTGGAGAGAAGGCTAAAGTGTTCACAAAGGAAGGTGGGAAAAAGGTAACATGGACAAAGGTCGAGAAGGCAGGACCTTCTGTTACATGGTACAAGGTAATGCTGGGATGTCCTTTTTCCTAGACATCGATCTTTAAATTTCTCAGCTCAGGTATCACTTGGCAACGAACTGGTTTCTTGGTATTCAAATAGGCATCATATTTTCTTGTTGCAGACTCAATTTAATGCTCCTGAAGGAAAAGCCCCTGTTGCTGTCCGAATGACCGGTATGAAGAAGGGTATGATTTGGATCAACGGTAAGAGCATCGGTCGTTACTGGATGACTTATGTCTCCCCTCTTGGAGAGCCTACTCAATCAGAGTAAGTGAAGAAAAATTTCTTAATTAGCCGCAGCAAAAAGTCTTCAAATAAAAAGAGAAGGAGATGGACCAAAATTAAACTTCTCTATCAATCTTTTCTTGTAAAATCAGGTACCACATCCCAAGATCATACTTAAAACCAAAAAACAACCTGATGGTTGTATTGGAAGAGGAAGCAGCAAACCCTGAGAAGATTGAGATCCTAACTGTCAACAGAGATACTATCTGTAGCTATGTGACTGAATATCATCCACCAAGTGTGAGAAACTGGGAAAGGAAGAACAGCAAATTCACACCTGTTATGAATAATGCAAAACCAGCAGCTCACTTAAAGTGTCCAAACCAGAAGAAGATTGTCGGCGTGCAGTTTGCAAGCTTCGGTGATCCTTTGGGTGCTTGTGGAAACTTTGCTGTTGGAACTTGCCATTCATCTGTCTCCAAGCAAGTTGTTGAACAGGTAATTCTTTTTTTCTTTTTTCTTTTTTTTTTCCCTCATCTCTTCAGGGCTATATTTTGCTAACTGCTAAGAGACTAATGAGATTTCTACTTGAATTTGAGCAGCATTGCTTGGGAAAAAATAGCTGCGATATCCCTGTTGACAGGGCACTTTTCGCCGGCCGGAAAGATAATTGTCCAGATATCAGCAAGACACTGGCCGTTCAAGTGAAGTGCAGCAACAAGCATCCCAGGCGTTCTGCTAACTAGGCTTTAACTTTTTTGTGATCATGTGACTAAGCAAATTTTACTGTGGTTTCGAGGAAATGCACTCTAAGTATCTTCCCTCTTGAAAATTTTAATTTATTTTTCTTCAAAAGAATGGGTAGTTAGATTTTTAAGTTAGAATAAATTTTAATTTATTCACTCTAAGCAAAAAGCTCGTTCCTAGATGCCTTCAGAATAAATTTCACTTTTTAAGTTAGATTAGGTGCTCCAAAATAAATAAATAAGAAATTTTTTTTTTTTTTTTTTTTTGAGAATACTGCAGAAAAGCATGGTTGATGGGTTTAAAACTTCAATAGCTGCAGACAAGCAGAAAGTTTATACTATATGGAAATAAATATTATACCAATTTTTTTATCAGAAACTTAAAAACGTAATTAACCTTGTAAAGTCTAAAGTTCCCACGGTGCATGCATTGAGGACACAAAAAATATTTTGAATTCAGGAAATGATTGGCAAATATATATATATATTCTTGCATCATCTGATTCCATGAGATAACTCATTTGCCACTATAAAGGACATCTCTTAAATTTTGCCAGAATTGTTGTTTGTCAAACGACTAACAGAAGATGAGCAGCTATTCTTCAAATGCATATAAATGCTAATATTCTTTATTCTTAGAGTAAATTATAAATTAGTCCCTTTAGGTTTGAAACATAAATTAATTATCAGTCTCGTTTGTTTGAAAAACTAATGATTTAGTCTCCATGTTCTTAAAACTACTTGTAACTTAGTTCTTTTTACTTTTTTTTTCAATTTATTTTTTATTTTCATTTTAAGAAATAGAAAAGGAAGAAAAATATGGAAAGTTTAATGAGAAAAAAATTATGAAATAAAAATAATGTTAAATTAAACATAATCAATATTAGTCAAATGACTAAATAATAGTTTTTGAAATGGAAGGAAATAATTAATTTGTTTCTTGAAACTTGAGGAGACTGATTTATACTTTACTCTTAGTTCTTACTACAAGCCTACGTAGAAAGAAAACTTAGAACCTTTAAGTTAGGATAGAAAGTTTTTTTTAAAAAAAAAAAAAAAAAAAGAAAGGAGAGAAATGTATTTTGAAATTAATCTTGGAATAATAATAACAATAATTTTTTTTAAAAAAAAATTGTTACTGCTGCCAATAGGGATAGTAGTTGTGGTGGCGATGAAGGTGAAAGAAATAGTTAATACACAATAAATAAAAAATAATATATCATCATTTTGAAAAAAATTCATTCCTATTTTTTATTTTTATTCTCATCTCCCTCTATAAACATGAAATTATGTTTAATTTTCATTCTAATTCTCAAATTTAATTTTCTTTTCTCATTCTCATTTTTAATTTTTATTTTCATTTTATTCCTTTCAATCAAATAGCTACAAAATAAAAATAAAACTTGCATCTCATTTTCATTACTACATTCCTAATAACCAAACAACATTGTAATATAAAAATTTAAAAAAAAAATTTTGTTGCAGAAAAATATTCATTCTTATAGAGAATTTACTGCATGCTGGAATTTTAGGAGTAAAATACTATCATTAGTATCTTATTTTTTCATAATTTTTTTAGACTTGATTGTTAATTAATTTAGTGATTTTCTCTTCATTTATTATCTTAATTTTGGATAGATTTTTTATAGATTTTTTTCCTTAAATTAAAGTAATATTAATTCTATATAATGCATGATTAAATTTGATAACTAACAATTTTAATAAAAATAATATTTTGAGAAAGTACGAATAAATAATGTTACTATGGCATAACAATTAATAACTTTTTAAATTATGCAAAAAGTCAAAGGATAGTATATTTTTTCTCTTCATTTACCACCTAATTTTGGATAGATATTTTCTATAGATTTTCTTCTTAAATTAACATTAGTTCCATAAAAAAAACAGGGTTAACTTTAATAATTAATTAAGATATTTTAAGAAAATATGAACAAACATGGTATGATAATTAATAATTTTTTAAAATTGTATAAAAACTCAAAAGAGATGATCTTTTCAGGTCAGAGAGAATATAAACTTTGTATGATTTGGCAGCCATATATGCAATCAGGCCAATTTCAGAATTTTTTTTTTTTTTTTTGGTATTTCATCCTATTCCGTAGATTTCTTCGTACTTGCCTGGTCTATAAATACAGGTCAAAGCAGACTTATCTTATCTCTTACGTATAAGAACAAAAACGATAATCATCTTGACACGTTTCTAGCAACAAATTAGAAGACAGAAAATGGATCGAGAAGAGTACTTATTCCAAAATGACATTTCTTGCATTGCTTTTGCTTTTAGTGTCTTGTTAGTATCTCTATTTCTATCTTATAACAGTACATCATCAATTGTTGTTCATTTGCTACAAGGAAATTAAACAGCTAGTTAATCAAATGATATTTGCATTTCACAGGTGATTCACTCTCAAGTGTAAGAGCAGCAAGTAACCAAGTCTCATGTAAAAGAACCGAGGAGTGTACCCCAGACGTGATTACATGTTCTCCAGAAGCTCCTGCTGAATGTCTCAACAATGGATGCCAATGCATCCCTAGAGTTGCAGTGAAAGCAACAAAAGGATTCCCATGTCAAACAACTGAGGATTGTGACTCGAAGGCTGTTAGATGTACTCCAGAAGCCCCTCTCGCATGTCTCGACAATGTATGCCAATGCATCCCTGACCCTACCTACCATTAGACGCATCTCAACTTGTGTGATCAGCAACTAGTCTCTGGTGTTAGCTAGCAAATAAGATTTCAAAGCTAGACTAGATTGAAAAAGACCATAAAATAAACTCTGATTAATAATACCGACTAAGCTTTCTTCATATCTATAATAAACTTCAGTTTCCATATGAAACAATGGCCTTTTTGAAGTAAATTGTTCTTCTTTTTGTTTTTGTTTTTTCTCCCTTTTTCTTTTTCTAAGTTACGATTTTCATTAACATTTTCCTTCTAGTATCAACTTTCAAGGAAGATAGAATGTTAATTTTATTAACATTTTCAAATAGGTTAATATTAAATTTATGATAATGGTGACAAGGGAAAAGCCGTCTTTCTCTAATTAGGTTCACATCAAGGAAGATAGCATGTTTTGTATAACTGGAAGGTGTAACTTTTTCTCTGCGTATGAAGAAGCTAGTACAGCTTCTTCATATCTATAAACCATATGGTTTTCGACTTTGCTGTCCTAAAAAAAGACCAGAACTAGTATTGAAGTATGAGTGGATTTATGGCATTGATCCTATTAGGATTAGATGGGGTATGTATTTGATGTTTACATGCTCGCATCGACCGCCTATGTGGTCAGAATGTATTGCAAATTCATGCAAGCACCGAGGATACTTTATGCAAATATATATATCTGCTGCGTTTCTTTAAAACTTTGGTGTCGAATTGTTTGTGGGGATTTTGATGATAATAAATCCAATAAAGAGAGGTGAGATGGGAATCATGCTGGCGTTGTCAAGTAACAAACATAGTTTTAATTTTTAAATAGAGTGGGGTTGCAATAACGGTCGCAAATTTAATGATTAAAATATAATTGTTGCGGCTAATATTGCTATGAATCATTTAGCAATCATGATGCATTTTTATAATGCATGTTAATTTGATATTTTTATTAAATGAAAATAATAATAGCATTTTTTTAGTTATATAAGTACACCTTTAAAATTCAATAACAATTGCATTATTAAAAATTAAATTTTAACTTAACCTAAATTTTAAATTATTATTCAAAAATTGTTTTGATAAAATTTTAATTTAGTTATTCGTTAAGAGTGGAGGAAAAATGACATATAATATATTTTTTCTACAATAAAAAAATAAAAACATAATTAAAATTTTAAATTATACAAAGTAAAAAAAGATTAAAATATAATTCTATTACTAGGCTCAATTATCACTTAAACAAAAAAAATAGACGTAATAAAAACTGTATCTGTGGTTAAGTTATACAACCTGGTCTAAAGTATTAGTCTTTTAGGTTTAAAATATCAGCCTCCTACGCTTAAGTTAAAGACTCATATGTCTTGCCTAAGCTTTGAATTTCTTTACTCCGGACCCAATTTTATAACACCACCCAAAATATTAATCCTTCAGATTTAAGTGAGAGGCTCATCGTCTAATCCTAAAATTCTTTCTTCTGCCTCCCCCTTGTCTCTTCTTCTTCCCTAACCTTGGTCTCTTCTTCTCTAAAAACACCTTCCTCCGTGTATCTTCTCCTTCCCTAAAAGCGATTCTTGCCTTTTCTTTTCTAAATTCTTCTATTTTATATTTGCGACACCTGAAACTCCACAAAACCTGTAGTTGGTAAAGATTAAAAAATTGAAAAAAAAAAAAAAAAAAAAGAGAGAGAGACCAGATCACGTGATAGTTACAAACCAGCAAAAGTTGAGAGGCTTTTTTAATAACACCATTACGCAGCAATAACACCAATAATATAGTAAAACAACAAAAACACTCATAACACCAAATAACAATATCATGCTCCGATACCTTTATATAACGGCCTTTACACTATCAAACAACTGTAATTTAAATCTATTGCAAGGTATTTTAGACACAGGATCAACTTCAACCACCATGATGGACTATCATGATACATCATTTAGGTTCAACATTTAGACCTTCCAGATTCAGAATTTCAGATGCCGGTCCTCTATTGTCAGACTCGGCTAGCGTTGGGGACTGAACTTTGAGGCAGTTAGCGGACGGAGATCATAAAGAATGCAAGGGGTACTTACACAGCTCTAAATGAAGCGTGGTGTTAAACTACAATAGAAGAGAAAACAATCGCAAGAGACCAGATCATCCTACAATCACAGAAAATGGTCTTTGTAATTTGCTTTATCTGAATTTATCTCATGTTTCATGCATGAAAAAAAAAAAAAAAAAAAAAAAAAAAAAAACAGGTATTACAATTTGATAATATAACCTAAAAAATACAGAGCATAATACATGTCAAAAAAATGCAAGTAATAAAACAATGAAATAAAGATAAAATGGGGGGAATAGCAATAATTTCAGTGTTTATTTTGCCATTTCCATCATTACTTGAAATACATTTATATTAATATTGGACAAGAAAGTTAGGTAGAAAAAATTGGAAATTTTCTATTTATTTACAAGAATTAGCAACTGAACACGATTCCACATGTTCCTTCTTTACAGCATGAAAATGCAGCAACCAACCTGAAAGATTTAACCAACAAATTTAAGAAACCAAGACATACTGCCAATGAAGTACCAATAAAATAATTTTTACGAATAAAAATCAGATGACGTCTTATATGAGCTGCAAATACATGGCCGTAGAGAACAAATGGGTGAGCTATCCAGATTCCAGGCAAACATTGTATCCAGCTCCGAAAATAAAATTTGAAGAGACCCCACAAAATTTATGAGCTGACCTTGATGACATAGTTTAAAGGAGCACCAAAAAGAAGCCATTATTGAGAAGGATAGGCATCACTTCCAATCTCAAATGCATCCCGGGAAGAAGCCTGGGATTCTTGTGATTTAATTACAGCAATTCAATCATCTAGTCAAAAAACTCTACGACAAATCAAAAGATCCCTGCCCTTCACTGATTGCATACAGCAATTTCTTGTACATAACTTCCTGTTTAAAGCACATACATAGTAAGCACCAGATGATGTAAAAATTCCCAGATAAATAAGCAGCATTAATCAAGATACGAAGCACTGCATAGTTAGCATGATATGAAAAAATTATAAGTTCCTTTCTGATCACCAGAACACAGTACCTTGGTAGAGTAAGGAGGAAGCTTTAGGTAATTAGCACAAGTCATGACGCTAGGCAAGTCATCATCAGCTGATTCTGAAGGCCCGGTTCCATTCGACATTGCATTCCCTGCAGATGAAGAATGCTGCATCCAGAAATGCTATTGTCATAGGCAGCTACAGAAAATTTAAGATGGATTTGACTACTACTACATAGAGATGACAGTTCTTTTCAAATAAATGATGACGATCTTAACCATAAAATTTACATGAAAACGCATTTAAAAATACATGGCAACACTACCAGGTTGCTGCCTTGGGAAGCAATTCCAGTGCAACATCCCCACCCAAAGGGGAGGGGAAAAAAACCACCAATCTGCACTCCCCAAAATAACCCAATTCCAAATTCTTATGCAGTTAATGAGAACATATTAGAATTTCATTTGCGACAAATCTCAAAGTTCATAAAAACGCATGCCAAAAAGATTAACATTTTTTAAGACTCCATATACACCAGATAATTCATATCACCAAAAAAAATGTAAAAAGCCATATTACTGTTTTCTGAGTTCTAGTAGCCGACAAAAAACATAAACAAGAAGCGACTCCAATCAATAACAGTACCATATGCATGAGTCCATGCATTTTTTCATCTTGCTCAAACAACCATGGTCGCTATTGCAACGTATTTCAAGCTATAGGATTCCACAAATCTGTGCACGTAATTGACCAATAGCACTTAATTTATTTCAACACGAGTATGATTTTACAATTTATCTTACGATCATATTTCATGGAAATCCTAATTGAAAAGACATTATAAAAACCTTGCCATGACAGCCTATAGAAGTTCACAAATGACTGCAGTGACACGCAAGTACTACTAAAATGTTATGCAAATTCAGCATAACATGCCACAAACAGTACATTAAATCCCAACAGAAGCAGCTTCAACACGTACCTTTCTCACAATGGTTAATTTTGGGTTTAGCACAGCCAGACCACCAGGTGGAAGCCTGGGTGCCCCAGTAACAAACTGGCAGAATGCACGCTGCTGCTCTGGTGTGAACTCTCCCATAATCTCAAGCAACTACAAACATCACAACCACAGCACCAAAACCATCAGATAAGAATAAAAACACAAAGATACATATTCTCCAAAACAGGATCCTCAAAAATAAAGTAGAAGACATACGTTAACAATGGCTGGACTCTTGGCAGTGTATCCATGATCGAATTTTATATGATCAACAAGTGTATCAGGCTGCATCAGTCAAAGCATCCAATAAACAATCCAGAAAAGAAGTTCCAGTCTCATAATGCATAAATGGCAAAAAGAGAGTGAATTACCTCCCACAACTCTCTACGCCCACAAAGCAAATAATCCAATTCTAACGGAGTGAAAATTTGCAATGATGAGATGTCGAAAACCTAATTATTAAGCAGAATAAGAATTAGTCTGGAACTAAACATAAGAAAAGAAGAATGTGACATCCAAAAATCAAGGCAGTTAAAATAGATTTAGTCACCATAGATACATAAACAGCAGATAAATAAGTATAAATAGCAGACATCAACTAAATATATAATGCAGGAAACTCCATAGAACTTTAACTTTTAATTAAACATCTAAGGCACAACAATTTCCTTGAAAATTACTGAGCTCATAAAAGTCAGATGGAACTGAACCTGATTGAATCCAGCTCTAAATGCTTCCATTTGTCGCATAATCCCAGTCTTCACAGTTGCATCCACTACCAAGGATATGTATTCCTCCAAGTTATTGAGATCAACCTGAAGATTATAACAAATTATGGGGAAAAATAAATCATACGAATGTAAGGCAGTTGCATCAAGAAATATTACATCCAAATTCAAAAAATATTTATGTTTAGATAAGTTCTATACAGTTTCATCTCCTGGCTTCAAAATGTAGTCTGGATAACCAGGA